TTTTGCCTTTCAATGAACAGAGAGTTCTCTTCTATATTTCTCTCTTCGTGCGGCGCAAAATCCTCGCCTTCGAATATCTTGCGTCCCCACTAGGCTTGCACGTAATCGACAAAAATCAATTCCGTAATTACGGAAAAATTGATTACGTAATGACCCCGTAATTGCGATATTTTTTTCACACGTTTAAACCTATCATAAAAACCATTCGAATCCACTTCTTTTCCGAATGGGACATCAAAGTTTGGTTTTCATATTACCGACAGTACTACACGCCGGCGACAGATGTTAAAGACAAATACCAAGGAGTGAATTCAAATTAAATTTATTCTGATTTTTATCTTGTTTAATTGTGTTGACTTTGATTTTCCTTTATCACGTTCGCAAATTAACCGTCCCAATTTCATGCGATCAATTTTATCATTACCGATAATGTTATACGGATATTTATGAAACGATAGTTGCCTTTTTTAAAATCGACTTTCGTATTGAATAAAAATTTCGGGTTTCTAAGTTATTAATCAACGACAAGCGTATTTTCTCGTTTGATTACACCTGCGCTTGCCTCACGACGAAGACTTGTTATTGCTCCGTTTTTTTACATTATCCGACTTTGCTGCCTAGTTAGCATTTTATAATAATTATTGATGCTGAATTATTGAAGATATTCCGATTACCAAGCTCCATTTTATATCAAATCATTTCGCGGCCTAAATGTTATAACATTATTTGCGATAAATTTAAATCAAATAATAATTATTTAGCCGGCGATAAATTCTTACCCGTAACTTGTTGTAAATTAATGCTAATAAATTCTATTTTGTTTTTTAATGCGCTGTGATTTGTATTAATAAAAGTGATTGAGTCCGGAAAGTATGTAGCCTAGCCTCCTCTCCTTTTGAGCGCTTATAGCGGCGGTAAAATTCGTTTCATGTCTGTTTCACGGAGAGAAAGAAAAATACGCCTTCCGGAATTACAATCAACTATCACACATTCTTATTTATCATTATCAGCGCCGAATAAAAAAGATACCAAATCGTGAAGACAAAAAAGTCTGTCGGTGCTAATTGCGTTACGGTGATAACGCTTATAATAATATCGTTTTAACCGTGAAACCAAACGCTCAAACGGGGTGGCAACGCGTCATGCCGGCTCAAAACGGCTGCGAATACCGGAACTCTAACTTCTTCTATTTGTTTGATTTTTTGATTTGACTTTGAGTTTTTACAATCGACGGAATTGACTGCTTGGAAGGAGCACGTTTCAAACGCGAAAGCGCTCGACCAATAATTACGACTTTACGTAATTTGTAACTTCCCTTCCGTAACTCCAAACAATTCCATAAATCCGTAAATTACGTGCAAGCCTACTCCCACCTACTACTGTATGTTTTTCTCTTGTGCATTAATGTGTGTTCTTATTATTTGCTGCGAAACTTTTATTAATGATGCAAGCACTGTGTAGGACTGTTTTATTTTTCAACATAAACTTTTGATTGACTGAAACTGAATGTTTCTTTCTATTTGTATTTACTGCGGGTTCGAGTTGTAGATATCGGTATGTCAATATCGGTTATCGGTCACTAGTTGGCCGATATATCGGTATCGGTGCCAAAAAGTGATATCGGTCGAGCTCTAGTATGCGGTCCTGGTCCAGACTCAGCTATCGGAAAAGTCCATAATTTATATCGTCGTTACATATATTCACTACTGACCTTTATGGCACGATTCTGTAATATGAAATATCTCGATTCTTTTATCTTGTCTTGATGTTTTGTCGCAATATGTCCATGATTGAATATCCACCAAATGTTTGGAATCATTCGCACAATAGCAAGTTGATTCTATTTTTCCGTAGTAACGGTAAGCACTGCAACAACAATGAAATATGAGTCAGAATGCACTTCAATCATGAAGCATATTAAAATATGATTAGATGAAAACGTGATCCCTGATACTTGTATTGCACAGATAGATAGAACGGGTTTGGGGTTCGTAAAAAAAGTGATTATTGGTTCGCATTAAGGCTTTGTATAGCAGAAAACCTAAATATTTCCTGCGTATTAAACCTTTCTTATCAAAAAAGAGAGTATGGATCAAATTTATGGATGCGAAGATCACGCACTGGCACCGGTAAGGTGTTAGCTAAGCAAATGATGAAAAGTGAAGAAATATAAAAAAAATAATGCGTAACAGCTTTGAGGGACTTATCTTTATGTACTGAAATGTTAAAATAGTTTGAACACTTTGTATCAAATAAAAACTACTCTGATGTTGCCGTATTTAATACATGCCCAAAAGATCGATTTCGTGAAACTAACCTTTTCGAACAGTCGTGAAGACATGACATCAGAGAACTTTGCTTACTTCTATCAATTTTTTCCTTCATCACCGCTAGATTGAAACACCCCATGCTTTGTGATTTGCATCGAATAACTGATTCTATATCAACATGAACGTCTACTTTTGTGACAGTATCAGAAACGGTTGGTGTTCCTTTTCGCATATGAACTGTGTCTATCGAAGTTACACTGCTGCGAAAATAAATTATTGGATGATAGTATATTTGGTGTTCTCCCAACTTTTTTCAGCACGACCCACGTTTTCGCGACCCTCAGACTTTTGAATTGACCGATGTGCTGGCATATCCTCGCATGAAAAATCGAATCTTGGCACTACTGGTTCCAAATTTGACCGATATTTTGTTTCGACATAAGTTAGTGTCGAAAAAGATTTTTCACGCAGATAAGAGAAGACAAAGGAAGAAAAGAAAACATGGCTAATTCTGACAATAATGAGAACCTTTCCTTTCTTGGTTTGTATAAACCACAGCGCTAAATTTCTAGGATGCAAAAACACAAACAACTACCATAACAACAAAAAGTAATTTAAAACTATGTAACTCACTTGTATAAATACTTGTGATATTGTAATTTGATCAATGCAGTTAAGCAGAAAAGGGTAGTCACGGCGACAGACAAAATTGTCCTATAAAACGAGCATTTTCTGAAATACATTGGGTTAATTATAGAACTTATGTCATGACGTTTGTAATCACATCAGTGGCGGTCAGTGCAAAATGAGTTTTGATATCGGTTGTACCAGGATAACTCAACGCCAGACTCTCTCACGTGGTGGATTGTACCTAGGCACAATAGCCGTAAAAAAATATTATACCTAGTCGGAATACTTGAACCGACTGTATACCTTGCAAATCTCGGTCTAAAAACAAATCTTTGTCTCACCTTGTACTCATTCTAACGATGAGTAAATGCCTGTAAATCCTACGCTTCACCAGCATATTTATCCATAGATACTAATTGTAACACGACTGCATATTACCAACGAGACTTACTGTTTGTCAACCGACCTGAATTTTGAAACCCGTCTCAGAATATTACCTTATATGTGGTTGAGTATAATCGTACACGAATCCAAGTCCCATGTTCAACAACAGTGCAATGTACTTCGCTTGTAAGAGACGCTTTTCTGCATCGATTTTATCAATGGGTTGCGTTTGAAAATACTTATGGTTGTAACATATTAAAACGTGATTTTAACTGCATGTTTCCCCCAGAATCACATTTCCGTTATGATAGCATAATGGCCGAAATCTGTTGCGATTGAACACTGTAATTTCAATGAGATGTAATGCGCCCGAGGCGCATATATGGGATGAAACTAAACGGGGGTATCAGATGACAATTTTTATTATTCATCTATATTCTATCATAAATAATACCGAAGAGACTTCAGCTAAAATCCTATGACAACTACTACAAATTTATGATAGAGACAACATACTAGTTGTTCGAGTATAGGGTCTGGCGTATGTAAGCCATATATATCAGGGGTGGCCAACCTGCTTTTGCCCGCGATCGACTAAAATCTTCAAAATAGATCGCGATCGACTGATCGGTAATAAGGTCCTACACAAAAACCGAATATGCAGATAACTGCACACACGCATACAAAAAATTCCACCGCTGCCAATAAGAAGGCTTTGTGCGTACATTATTATTGAAATCGACACAAAATTTGTGTTTTTTATGTTCCATTCAAGTTGTTGATTTGATCATTAAACTGTACCCGGAGTAAATGTTTCATCTTTTTTTTCAAGATTTATTTAAATCATACAATTCGGATGTTCGGAAGTATTGAAAATTCTCGCCAAGTATTCATGTATCATCCAAACAGCAAAAAATAAATATCCTCAAACCATAAATGTTTCATGACTATTCAAACTTCAGTATCTAATTTACAATTTTCTTCAAATGCGATTCCTAGCTTGCTTAAAACAAATTGGGCATTTTGATGCCACTGCTACCATTGCGAATAAAATTTATCACACTACTCTTGGAGTGAGACAATAAGTTTCGCATACTGCAAAAGTTATTGTAAGATCAGTCTAGCTAGACTCTAGTCTAGTCTATACATGCGATATTCAGCATTTCATTTTTAAACCTTGGCAGCGGAAAAACTTGCATTTGTTACGTAATAATATGCTTTATCGGAGTTGATCAGACTCAAAATCGTATGTGTATATTGTATTTTGCGCATGTAAAGTACTGTATTCTTCCTGTTGTAAAACACACAGCTGGTTTGAGGTCATGTAGTATTTTTCTTCCAATCAAAAGTTTGCATAAATATAAATTAAAAAATATATTTTATACACTCCAAATTATTGAATGCAAGGCAACTAAATCTAGTTAATCCGTTTATTAAATTAATTTATGCTAATTGAGAATACGGATAGATATACGGTTCAATCGCCACTCGAATGTGGTATGAAATAAATATATATATTTTTTTTAATTTATTTCGTAATACAACATTTGAAGTCTTAGCGTGAAAATAGACGTTAATCGTCAATTTCATTTAATATTATTTTAAATTTTTATGGTATCTGCTTCGTTCTTCCTGAATTTTGACTTTCCGTCATTCCTTTATTTTCTAATATTTTCTTGCGACTTCTATCGTTCGATTGAAGAAATAAAACGTGAATTACATTCGCCATGGAACTCGTGCAATGCATATTTCCGTCCAGGACATTTTTCTCGACATAAATTTTAACATTTTCATGGATGGTCTTCCTATATCAACTGTGATGTTAACGTACAGTGGAAATCTCTTCACAGACAATAATTTGTATCTAAAAAAAAATAGATAAACGTATTCTAAACAAGCAAGGTACACCATATATTTCCCCGAGCAACGATTTGCTTGTGCATTTCTGTAACAATGGCCAATTCCCGTAATACCAGTGACGCAACAATTGGAATTTTAGCAGTCCCTCATACACTCTTTTACTTGGACAGAATATCAAGCATGGTTGTAACCAATGAATCGTTTTTGTTGTTTTATTTGCAATTACTTGGCAGTTTTAGGTAGTGTCGTAAATAGTGACATAAATGAAATAATTTTCCGCTATTTTGTCTTCGGAAAAGTTTTGGTTAAGTTTCCAAAAACATATACTTATAAATGTGGATCGAAAGTCGAGACGCTTCATATAACGCAGAGTAAAAGAAATACATTGTACACCACACGTTCAGTGCGCCCATTATTTGTTGATTCTAATACTCAACCTCTACAATTGTTTTTTGTTCTAATTCATATGACGTGCTGTAGTTAAATTGGATGGGTTTTCTATCTCTCAAAATCCTTACAAACGAAAGCGTATAGCATTTGTGTTCGTGGCTGTCAAATTTGACGGCTTTCGACTGACCGCGCGGTGGTGGACTTATACTTACTGACAAGATTAGTATTTCTGTATATGATGTATTTTAGTTATTAACTAATATAGCGTGGCCTGTCATTGTGGCATGCCTACAAATGATGAATAATCTGTTTACGTTCATACAATAGTCGGAGGCGTTCGTTACAGTAATTACCTCCATCTGACCTGACTTCCGCGGATATTATCGCTTTGAGCAAACGCGCGCAGAATATTTTGTTTTTTATTATTTGGTTTCGGTTTCATGTAACTTCCTGATATTATCTGTTATTGTTATAAACTTTTTAAAACGACGCCAAGCGATATCATAGCGCACCAGCAGATCATGCGTTGAATATGGTTATTAATGAATTCGACGAAATATGATTGCAAATATTTGGATGGACTCGGGTCTATCTGTTTGATTGCACGTATCCAGGATACTGACCTCAAATTGTTTAAGCCTTCTTTTCTCATTCTGGAAGCGGCATGATATAACAAAGTATATCTCGCCTCATTCTCAGCGTTCGAAGATTCGTGTTCATGCGCTATCATACGAAATGAACAATGTTGACCGTATGGATTGGAAACGTCGTATCCTAAAACAAAAAGAAATTTGATCAACTGCCAGAACTAATGCGAGACAATTTTGGGAGTTTTTGAAATACATATCCATGCAAATCTGACTAGAAAATTTGTCAATCGCAAATATTTTATGCAGTGTCTCTTGAGATCCAAAATACAAGTTTTTGTACAAATAACTCAGCGCGATAACATATTTCATTGTTGAAAAATATAGAATCAAAGTCAGCTGTTAACATATATACATCTAATAATTTGACTAAACTGCGGGGGATCTAGATCGCAGGCACAGCAGTGCGCCATAATTCTGAGTAATCATATTCGGTTGGCACAAGTTTAGATACTTTCAGCCCTTTTCTTTTTATCGCCATTTTGCAAATTGTTTGTGTCAAATTTCATGGCATGATCAACCGTACTACCGAAAGTGCTCTAGTCAAGCAGCCTCTGATGGTTAGAGCTGTTAAGGTATTCAACGAACTTTAGACCCAATGTATAAAGCAATCAAGATTTAAACAAATTCAGTCAAATTTTGTATAAAAGCATTTACCAGTTATTTTCCAACAAGATATTTATGAAGTCTTTTATGCGATATCATAAACCTAAAGTCATTTTTTAAATTCCTCATTTATTATTTCAACATCGGTAATATATTTTCAATCCATGAAAGAAATCACAAACCTGCAGTTTTCAATCTGAAATACATATCATCATCTTCCCCTCCCCATCCCCAATAAAAATTTGAGAAACCATTGACATTGTTGAACTGCTTTGGTGTCATACTTGACACGCCGCCGTAATATATAATATTTTCTAAAAAAACTAAAACAGTATTGGTGAATATTTATACTTCTAGGTATTTTTGTTAATTAGGAAATGTAACTTGTTGGCGGTGATCAATGAAGTTCATTTGTTCAAATTCGACTATCGAAATAGTGCAGTAGACTATTGAAACTTATTGATATTATTATTTACAACGGTCTATGAGTATTGCTACATATGTGCCATTTTATGAAGAATGATATTGAGGCTAAAAAGTTACCACATTTCAAATTCTTACTATGGCAAAGCTGTTGCGGTTATTTATCTAATTTAGGTAAATTTATGTTGTTAATGAACTGCCATTTTGTTTTCTCGTTTTCTAGATATTTTAAAAAACAAGTGATTTATTACGAATTTTATAAAAACTAACAGCGAATCTGGTATGTCAATAAGCAAAATTTTCGCTTCTTGGCAGAACGCAGAAAAACCTTGTAAAGCTATAGGAAGACCTCTCCATATTAAGCGAGTACGCTGTGGTGCGTAGTTGCGAGTTTTGCAATTTGGAGTCGTTAATTTTTCGAGCAGGCGGTTTCGCTTACTTCAGTTCGTTATGCTGCAAAACGTTTTCATGCCAAAACTTAAATATCTTAGAAATCATGCAAAGGTATGGTTTTAACAAGATGGAGCAACAGCCCACACGGCAAAAAATCAATGAATGTTTTGCGGGGAATCGTTTCAACGCATTTGAATTCTTTGCATGGTAATATGGAATGGCCAGCACGGTCGCCTGACTTTCCACTTCTGTTCAAAATAGAAAATGAAATCCGCGAGAAATCACTAAGAGGTTGATGGAAAACTTTAGGATAAGCTTATGAATTGCAGATGGAGGGACCATCTCTAATAGGTTGTTTTGTAAAAGAAGTTTACTCAAAATAGAAATCAAATGCCTTGTTGAGTGTGCAATAAAAATTTAATAGAGGCTATTCTTGTATTTTTTCTAAAATTTGAATATGGGAGGTTTGTTTGCCTCACCCTGTATGAGCGTGAATGGCAGTAATTTTTAACAAATTGTGTAAACAGTCAATATTAAATTCCATAGCACTTACATGATGCTGGACGACATGTTGTCGAATAAGAGAGTGGTTCATAAGCAAATTTGTCCATATACATCGATATATGACGAGGATTTTCTTCGTCACACCAATACAAACACCGGTCATCTTCCAACAACAAGTCAACATCATGAAACACAAAACAGTCGTAGGATTGCTCTGGAAAGTAAAATTGAAGAATAATATATATCAATTTTTTTTCACTGGATGTAAAAGGGTATATAAATCGTATATTTGTTTCCCTAAAGAAGTTGAATTTTGATTGCAGGTTTGGAATTGAACTTTGAAACCTATTTGTTGGAACTGGCTGAATATTTTAAGTTTGACCTGGCAGATAATATCGGTCATATACAACCGGCGTTAAAGCGACAAATTTATTTGAAAATAAAATCGACAAGTAGACTTTCATTCATTATACTTTTTAGAGATAGCGACGATGGCGGCTACATTTTCTTATAAAACTTAAGATAAGGCAGTGTTTTTTGTATGGCCAGACAAACAACGTTAATTTATACAAAATAGTCATGACTTTTCTAAAAAAATAATGCACTAATCCAAAACAACCCATTTCACACAAGTTGGTATTATTAGAAAATCAAAATATACAGTGATTCTTACCTTTCGTAGCTTCAGATACTCCCACGTTGATAAGTTTTGCTCTATTAAATAATCCCTCCCCTGCTTGTGTAATGGTATAAACAGTGTAATCAAGATTTTGTCGTTGCCATATAGGATGCATATGAGATAATAATACTTTTAATTGAGATTCACGATTCCGCAACGGAATTATGATTGCAACATTGTAACGTGATTTACAACTTCTAGGAGAAAATTTTCCCTCGTAAACCCTGGAAATGGAAGACTCTATAACGTCCCACGGAAGAGTTTGAGTTACGTTGATCTTGATGTTAGATGTTAAATTTCCCTTCAAGTTCTTAGGATAATGACTACAAGGGCGGTGGCCTGGTTTATAATCCAGAATTGTTTTCCGTTTTATTCTAGCCATGTTGGGTAAATGGCTTAATTCTATCGTTTCAGTGATATGGATGTCGTCTACATCAAAGTATTCCAAGTCAAAATCTTCTTGAAAAGTTAAGTTATTCAAAACAGATATTATATACTGACGCTGCAGTATACAGTATATGAAAATAACAAGAGCTATCCATATTTTCATATAGCGTTTAATATAATGAAGTCTTTTAGCAACCTTCATTCCGCACAGCTAAGTTGCAATAAATTGATTTCAAATGCACTCACATTTTGACTTCTTCACATATTATACCTATTTTCTATAGATAACAAAAAAGCAAGATAACAATGAAAAATAGTCAACAACTCCCGATGAAAACTAGCTCTTACTTCCAATTTCCTCCAAGTCCGATTCGTTACTAGCTTTGAATTGAAACTATTGAAAATTCTGATGCCACTGCTACCGTATACACTTTACCACACTTACTCCGCCAAAGTTATTGTAAGATAGCTTCTCAGGGCCGACACGTGCATTTCCAAACCTTGGCAGTGGCAAAACTTTCATTTGTCACGTAACAATATTCTCTATCAGGCTTGCTTAGACTCGTATACTGTATGTGACTTGTGTATCAGGGGTAGCCAAAACGTCGATTGCCACGTCTCGAGTAGTCGATCGCGTCTGATGTTGAGTGAATTCATTAACATCCCAAAAAATTTCTATGAACCAGTTCCATGCAGCGTCTGTTGTGTGTTTTAAAGCAGAAAGAATACAGTACTGTACATGCGCAAAGTACGATATATACATACACTGTTTGAGTCTGGGCAAGTCTGATGGGGCATATAAATATGTACAATTGCAAGTTTCACCGCTGCCAAGGTTAGGAAATGAACGCGCCGAACATCGTGTGTCTTGACCGACAAACGATCCTAAAATAACTCCTGCAGTATGCGAAAGTTATTGTCTCACTCCAAGAGCAGTGTCATCAATTTTATTCGCAGTGGCATCAGAATGCCTAATTTTTTTCTAATTTCATGCGAGCAAAAAATCGTATATTGTCTTTTGCACATTAGCAATAAATTCACTCAACGAAGTATGTATGCTTTGAAATGGCTGTTTCACCAAAGAGCTGAACCCAAAACCCGGAAATATATTCAGGCGCACTGAAATAAATATAATTTTCCGAAAGGCCGTAATCTGATAATTTTGAAGTTTTTTTTTTTAACTTCGGCTCAAGATAGGGATGGCTATCTTGTAGTGGTACCCGTCCTTGCTAAGTAATGCTTGGTGCTTATTGCTACACACTTACAAAATCCGACACACGAGATATCTCTTGGTGGGTAGTAATGCATACATAGTATAAGTATGGATAAAATAGGTGTTATTCTACGAGTGACTGCAACATCTAATCCCTGTAACTGAAACGATCAAATCGTGGCCCATTTTCTCTCTGCCTATATCAAATACAATTAAACCAAAACTACTTTCAAGGCAATACACTGACGATTAAATTTAAACAGAGCATCTGTAAAAGTACCTCTGATGTCTCGTTCAATAATTTTTATCGTAATGATTTTACTCATTGTTGATTGTATTGCTCAATCTAATAAGGAATTCATCAATATTCATAAAATGATTAAATTCCAATAATTATAAAATATAAACGTCATAAACTTATGTTTATTCAGTGGTAACCGACATCTACTCGAGTATTTGTTAACGCTCTCAACATGCTAACGTACAAATCGCAGGATATGGATCCGCGCTTAATGGATAAACTTTTTGCCTACTCAGGTGGTATGGCAGTTTATTAGTATTTATTCAAACTACAGAATTACTGAGATAATCTTACAGATTTTAACCTTTTATTTTGAAATCACGATGCCTTAGCTGTCAAGCGTCGACAGGTACTGGGAACTTTCGGCCCATCTTATTGATAATATGAATCTAACTTAAAATAATCCACTTGCTATGATAATTCGTTAGTAGCAACTTTGAAATAATGCCAAAACATCTTAAATTTCTCCATAAACCGAGAGGACTTGGAAATGAACTATAAATAAGCGCCGGGACAACATCTAACTATCTACTGATACGACATGCCAATGCCGGCGTTACTTGCGTATTTTGTGATTGGCTCCAAGTTGCATAACTAATCAGGTTTAGGACGTATCCTTTACACAATATTCCAATGTGTATGGTCTCTCAGTTTTGTCCCAATCTATTTCTGTACCAATTCAGGCATTATAGCCATCTATGTACCATTAACAGCCATTCTGATTCAGAAAAAAGAGAAACTAATTATTGCAGACACCAAGCTTTCTTAGGTATCAATGCAAATTGGACTTTCCAAATCGCCGTGGTATTTTCGAAAAATCTTAGCTCTATAGACGATAGCTAATACAAAATCCATAGTTATATCACATTGTTTTTTCCACGATTTATGCGTGGATCATGAGTCGGCCATCACGTTACAGCGAACAAATATAATACGCGCGTCAGTATTCTGATTCATCTTATTTCCTATAAGACGCGATTTAACAATTAATAATCTTAGTAACCTCCACCGTCCTCTGAACAATCCATTCATAATTAAGAGTATTTGAATATAAATTAAATCAAATAATCTACTGGTGAAAGTCTAAAGAAAATGCATTTTGTCAATTTCGTAGTGTTAACCTATAATAAACTATATTTTGCGTATTCCATCCCAGATGTACAGTTACGTCGCGTGCCTGGTGTCACACGCATAAGGTTAATTAAAATAAAAACGAGTCTTGGTGAGATACCACGCCATATGATAATAAAACGGCGAATGAGAAACAGTAGCATTATTAATTAATATACTTACAGTTACAAATATAAGAAACATAAAAATTGTTTTGTGCAGCAATCACAAATAAATATGAACGAGATAAAACCCGCGGAAGTCAAAGAGCAATAACAGTTCAGCAGTTTGAGGTTCTTTTAAGAATGGTACCGGTACAATACACTGTGACATTGTTGACAATCGATTCTCCTTCCTATGACTATAGATGTCGGTTTTGTGACAACTTTTTGGTAGTCTGAGTAGACTCTAGCAAATGTACTGCAATGACACGGTTACGACACAGCCTGACACGGGAAACAAAAAACAGTATGGTGGGCAATCGGAACTCTTGTGCCAGGATGAGATTTTTTTCGATAATGATTCCAACAATAACTAGACTTTTTTTGTTGTTGTAAGCAATTGAAACTGCAGCTAGGCCCACCCCAATGATACAGGTATGGCTTTTCGCCTTCCGAGTATGATATTCCCTTTTTCACGTCGCCTGTTACGTTACGCCACAAACTGGAAGTGCAATAAAACAATACTCAATATGAAACTATGAATGCAAAACGTAATTTGCTGTTCTCGGGCTCTATACTAGGCAGAGACGCTAGAGTTAACGATATAAATACAACGATATAAATAATTCGGATGAGTGAGTTTGAGGTATATGTGACTCCAGTGGCGTAGCATCTACCCCGGCGGTCGCGGGAGGGCCCACAGCAAAAAGGGGCCCAAGCGTTTAGAATTAGGAAATTTAAGCCGCAAAACCAAAAGCTGCATTGCAAAACCAGTAATGCACATCTTATAACGTTGATGTTAGTTCTGCTCAAATTGTTTTGTTACGTAACAATTCCAGGGAGTATTCGATTTTCGGCGTCTTGTGGTTTGATCGCACCGGCAAAATTACGAAGGCTGTCAGAATGATGTCGAAAGCAAAACTTCTCAGTGGCGCACAGAAACACAGGAAAAGGGCAGAAGAGGAAGCACGTATGAAAAAAATTAAAGTAACCAAGATAAACGGCCAAATTTTAGGTTACCATTGCCTTTTAATAGCGACATGTTAAGCTTTTTGACGAAATAAAAAAAGCGTTGTTTTAGCTTATGTCCAAGAGTTTTTAGGGTCATTTCCACGAAATACTTTTGCGAGGGGGCCCACGAGAGTCTTGCTACGCCACTGTGTGACTCGTTTTGCACAATATATTTAGGTGCAAATAACACGCGGGGATTTATTTTAACCTACAGCCTTGTCCGTGATTTCAAATATCTATAGCGGCAAAGCCCTTCCAAATTGTGGTAAAACAATTCGATTCGAAATGCAGGCGTCATGTTCCTCATGGCGGATTTCACTTCGTTACAGTGATTTCCCTACACTCCCTATAGAGCAGTGGTTCTTAAACTTTTTGATCCGCGCCCCCCTTTAAAAAAACTTCGCCCCCCCCCCCCTCTTTTTGCTTTGAAAAAATGCTTTTGTGATAGGCAGGTTGCTATAAATTAAGATGGCGCTATAACTGAGTGTTGGTCTCATAGCGTCATTGCTCAGATTGTTTAGGCATAAAACGCTTCGGAGTACAACTTCGCCCTTCACTGTCGTATGTACAAAGCCAAATAGTGGTTGGTCATCACTCATCATACATTTTCGTTTTTCCGCTCAGTTTGCAATACTTCAAAGTCAAAGTAATTATTAAGTAAAACTAAACAAGCAATAAACCTATGCTTTAATGTATTTTCTGTTTAAACGTTTACATAAGACACGTAAAATTTAAATCAATTGTTGTCCCTAAGGCGTTAGCGATTGCATTTTGTTTAAATCTCCATTGTTTACGTCAACGTGGCGTGTTATTTAAGCCCTGAAAATCTTGATTTCGGTGTTTATTCTTCCTGAACCGAAATTTCCCTCGACATATTCTTGTGCCGCGAAGACGATTATAATTACTTTTTTTGGTCTCGAATGGAACCATGACACCTCTGAGGAAAACGAGTTAGTTTTTATTATAATCATCAGCGACGAGATGCTAAAGATAGAACAAGAGAGCTACGCACAAATATATGGACACGTTAGACCAGAGCGAATCAGTCCTTACCGGTACCTTTTGACGCTACCGTCAAAGGTACCCGGTACCTACCGGTACCCTCAAAAAAGTTCTGAATGTCCAGTAGCAAGAATTTTGCAGGATCAAAACGTACAGCCAGTCATGACACTGACTAAAATCCGTGTTTCCATGGATAAAAAATAATACAGCAAAATTTTAGACGAAATATCAAATTTCATAGAATTCACGCAAAATTTTGAAATAAATAAAAGTAATAGCCTTCTAGCGAAAAAATTAATCTTTAACCACTGAAAGTTTCAAAGCAATTGGTCCAGTATTCGAAGAGAAAAGCGACTTTTTAAAAACGTGTCAAAGAACAAGAACAACAACAACAACGATCGTTATGTCCACTTCGTGTCCAAAAAGAAGTGAATCCGTAACTTAAAATTTCTTTATTGTAAAAGTGGCATTATAAAATACTAAAAATAAAACGGAAAACGCCATGAGTTTTTTTTTTGTGGTGGACCGCGACAGATTAAAAACACTTTCTTAGACATTGAAAATCTCATAAATTCCTTGTGCGTGCGGCACACCAGTAGTGTTCTAAAACTACAGACTTGATATAAATTTTACTCCGTGGGATCGCAGACTTAGGAATAACTGTAACGGTGGTATCTGAAATTAAACGAGTGGCGGCATTGCGATAGAGCGGAGTAAGAGTTGCAGGGACAGCTCATATTGGTGAAATTGGCAGGAATACAAATCAAAACAAAATGTAATCGACATTTTTATGGTTGCGGATTACCGTGTAATTTTGGAGTATTGGTGCTTTTATTTTATCGACGCAATCGCAGATTTAATTTATCACAATTAAATGAATAAAGCAACCATTTTAAATGAGTATATAATCATGGATTGAATATTTCATTCAACAGAAAAACCATTACATATCCGTTGAAAAAGTCGGCTCTTTCAATGACTGGCGTAATCTCGAGGACTGACTCAGAAGCCGTACCGCGGGGATTTCGTTTCGATGTATATGTATGTTTCATCTACCAATATACTTTACATGTATTTTAATGATGCTAAATCAAATATACTTTCTGGGATATTATACCAGATCTTTCTAATGACGACAACGAATTTTCATGAGTGCAATATATATAAAAACTAAATATAATCGGGCAGTTGATCACACTTTATTATGTCTGCGGATAGGCGTGGCATTTTAGATAGGTAATGAGTTTATTTTGTCGTGAGTCGCCGCAACCGCGAGTTACCTTGAACACAAATGAATTAAAAGAGACATTTTGAATTATTGTAGTTATTACGAGACAGAAAAATTTATTATAACACGAAAAAGCCGGTATTTTTAACGAACGCGGAGAGGGTTTCAGGAGCCGTTAGCCCGTTACATGTAAATTTCCGATTCCATCTTGTGACCCCCAGTTTAAGAACCACTGCTATAGAGGCTGAGCACCCAGCCTAAAATTTCAAACACCCCTTTTTACTTTTGATGTGCTATTTAAATACCCAACTTGCTTATAGTTGTATTTGATCGTAATTGTACCTAGAACCTAGCGCATATATGGCCAGTCAAATACATACCACATTTTTATGGGTTACAAATAGTTTTATCGGGAATGGCAAAATATTTACCACCGCTAAATTTGAGAACACCTCCCTAAACTAAAAAGTTGAAGAGCATACAGCTTCGTAGTTCTGAGACATTGGAAATGAATTTATTCTATATATATGTTGCATTACGTGTGTATGTTTGTATAGATCTTACATGGCCAAATACATAATTTGATCAAACGTCATTTGTACTGACTGGTATAAAGTTGGATCACTTAGTAAAATATATTCAATTGCAAAATGATCCTGCCCCTCGATTGGCATATCGACTTTTATACTTGCAGGCCGCGACGGTAAAATTTTTGATGCTCATTTTGAGAGAGTTTTCGTGAGTTTGTTGTCCGAATAACTAATATTCCCAACAATTTAGAGCTTGTAAGCGAGTACACTTCTTCAAAAACACAATTTAGCTTTAAAATATTACAGCTACTGTCGAGAAAAAGTACTGGCAGTTTATTGTATTCTATCCTAGCTTTTTCGTGACTGGTTTTGCTTACAGAAAAAAAAACTGAAACACTTCCGAAGACAGTTGATGATATTATTTCAGAAAAAAAGTCCAAAAAAAGGATTAGAACATGCTGGGCCAGATTGGCTTTGGTTTAAACTTTAAATTAATGGAAGAATACACGCTTTAACATCGAAAAATATAGCTCAGCACAATGTTAGGCTGAGTCAAAATATTTATCTGCCACTCTTCTCAACTTCGTTTATTAAAGAAACTCGTTGAATCTACCACGTGATCTATTGAAACGATATGAAGAAAATTAGCGTTGGATGCTCGTGCGGTCATTTGATAGATTGCGATCACCGCAAAACGTCACAATTTCTGGCCTTCCCCCTTCAAAATGAAAGTGCAGTCAGTCGATTTGCGCTTCGTGCTAAGCGTTGGTAATACGCTCGCCACCGCACCTCTCATGAGTGTGCATCCCTATGATAATAATAATTATATGCGAGAGTGAGACTGGACTACTCGCCACTGCTGGATTGTTCACATAATCGCTGGTCGGTTACAGCTTGCTGCGCAATTAAGTCCATGCATCTGAAACCAATAACTGGCAAACGAGAATATTGGTCGGAGATCGAAGACTTATCGATCGAAATTGCGGTTTCGATTCATGACTCTATAGTGACACCGCGTGTCTCAACACTAATTAATTATCAACTCGCTAATTATACGACATAATTCATCCAAAATCAATAGGCTTCTGGTCCGAGATATGATGAATGCACATGCAAAATTTGGAGCAGATTCAACCACGACTTCGTGAGATATCGCGTGCATCTAACAGACAAATATCTATCTACATACTTGCCGATCTAAAGATCGATAAGTAACAATGCTAGACGCAAGATCTAGGACTGGTAAACGGACGGGAGGTCATGGTCCAACCGGCTTTTTCTCCTCGAGATAAATATGTAAAACCTATTCAAATTGGGATGACATGTCAAATATTTTGAACTGCGCTGAGATTTAGGGCTTGAAACCAGTTATACTCTCGAAACACAAGCCATTTGTATTCTTTGATATCATATATATTTTAAAGAGCATGTTCCAACATGATCGACTTATTCGGGAAGAACCATTTGACAAATTGCCTTTGCAGCCACTTTTCTGCTGAAAGTGTGGCCGAGGTCAGATACAGATAACACAAAATTAAAACTATCAAATTCTTTATCAAACTTGGAAATTTTGAAAGTGCCATCACTAGCCATAGCAGCCAGTTCTGTGACCATGGTTAATGGCATCAGCTGCAAAACAGCTTGAGAAACCAATTCGCCACACAGTGATGCCAGATATACGAAGTAAACTGCAAAGTCAATATGAGGACCTGGTTGTCGTTCAGCAAGCGACATATTCATAATATCTAATGCGTAACTAAGTGCTCTCAATACTGGTTCTCTTACATGAGAATGCTTAGACTGAGCTGTGGCAGAATTTTCGCGGCCAAGTATAGATGAAAACGCACTTGCTGCCAAATCATGCTCTGCAGTCGAACTGAAAAGTCTTCGCAACTTAGTGGGTCCGACTTCATCTTGGAAATGTACTTGATGAGAAGCCAATGACTCTTTTCCAGACATTAGAAGTTGATGCGATAGCTTCTCTTTTGCTGTTTTTTGTGAAAGGCAAGCTTTTTGTTGTAAAGATATATTATGAAGAACTATAGCAAGACAGCTAACAGCAAGCTGTGCTAAAACATTTCCTGCAGGAGCAGAGAGAATCATGTGATCAGCTTCATCAGTCAAATAGTGCGGAATTTCGTGTCTTAACAAGCAAATGACAAAACTCTCAACATCTAACAAAAATATTCCACCCACAACAGTAGCTGTTCGTTCAACAATATCTTTGCGAGTTTGCGACAACAACTGTGAAACAAGTTGATGGCAAAACCATTTGGCACCGGATCGCTTCAAAACAGCTTCAAGTCGACAGAGCATATTTCTTCCTATCCAGCCTGTCTCTCTGCACTCTGTTATTAAATCGGAAAGAACATCAGCTGGAAATTTCACAGGCTCGTTATCCTGTGCACCAGGTAGGTTTGAATTTGGCATCAACACTTCCAATATACCTTTAAACATGTTTGTACGTTTTGCTGCATGTATTTCTTGACCGGGTGGCGATATAAATCCATGCGTTGAAAGTTTTTCAACGACTTCTTTCAATTCCTTCCAGAATAGTTTTGGAACGGTTGAAGCATATTTGGCTACTTCAACAAGACAAGTCAGTCTGATAGACAATGATAATATATTACATATGACATCACAGGCACCTAACACATCTGCTTTGCTCACAACTTTGTACTGCCATGCCTTTACCAATTCAATGAATGCTCTTGGCAAATTGGTGCACATCTCATGCCATTTTTTTATACTGCACGATTGTTCTTGAGTTCGTTCCCTTTTGTTTTGTAACAATTCAAGATACATTTTAATACGAGAGTCATCAACATCAAGTTCGCTTTTACTATTTCTCAATATTTGACCTCTATCATCAGGCCAGTAAACAGATATCCATTTGTATAGAAAGTATTTACTAGAATCCATGTCTGCCATAGATCCTAAAACAACGTTTTTTCCATACTGTTCAGCAATTTGGCAGACTAGAAAATGCGTAAAATCAAAAAGAAGACATCTCATTTGTGCACTTTTACCGCCTTCGGCAGTGCTGGATTTCACAACATCATTAAACAATATTAATTTTTTAGCAAACTTTTGTACATTGTGTGTGATTGAGCCACTTGCCAAGATAATATTAAAGTTACTTGACATTTGACTCAATGTAGCAAGCAAATTTTCTTGTTTAGAAATATAATCAGCAGAAGTGTCTATGACTGAAAGTAACTGACGGGCAGTTGCCTCGTATTTTATCAATTTGCTCGGTTCTACTGCGTGTGTTGGATGCTGCGATGAAACTTTGGCCATGCTGCTTCTTCGTGTTTTCAGCTCTGTTGCAGCATCTTCTTTTAATATGCCGAAAGATAGGCAACGATCAATGAGCCAACTTAGGCAATCACAATTTCCAGTAATTTGGTCTAACACATCTAGAAGACTGTCATATTGCAATAATTCTGAAAAAGCACTTGCCGTCGCATCTTCAAAATCTGTTTCTAAAGACAGCTTTTTAAAATCTGAACCATTTCCTGACACAATAGCAGATTTAAGTCTTTTAAGATGTTGGGGAAGTGAAAGAAAAAGTACAGATGACCATTTGTGTTTCCTATCTCCATCAATGCTGCCTAAGAATCCCATCATACAGGCTCGTATCAAATCCAGACACAGTTCTGAAACATTGAGATCACAAAGTTGAGAGAGCAACAGCAATTGTTGAATTAAAGTATCAGGATCAGTCATTTTATTCCATTCACCTTCTAGGAGGATAAACATATTCACCAACATGCCATGATGAGATTCATTTCCTTGTATTTTTGGCAAACAGAATACTGCAGATGTTTTTGTATTACAGCGAGCAAGTTGAGATACACTATTACATGATACATTAACATCATTTTGCATGTTATGTCCAACAGCAGCATTCTTAATTACAGCGAGATCAGTTTCAATATGGCTCCAAACACTGCTCTCCTCAAATCTTGCAATAGTCAGAAGAGATGCAGTTCTCGGTAATGTAGTTAAGGAATGCAAAGTTGAGCAGTTTTTCTGAATTTGCAAATTCTCAGCTTCAACTCCAGAAGTTCCTGAACCCCTTTTTAAATATTGTTCAATATTTCTCAAAAGCCATTGCAAAATCACAAGCAAAGCTTTGCACAGGCCCATGCTGTCTTCTAAAATTTGACCCTTGTTTAGTTTTTCTATATATTTCATGAGTATATTCAAAGTATAATCCATGCTAGCAGTGTTTTGAAGATCCTCATGTTTAGAAATGGCAGTCAATATAGCTGCATAAGACAAAGTCCCCGATTTGAGTCCGTAATTAAAATAACTAAGAAGAACTGTATTAGGTGTGCTTCCGATGAATGCTTGAGAGAAGAGAACGTCAGCCATATGAAACATGTCAACAACATTCCCTGGCTGTAGTAATTTTCTCATTGTTGAAGTCCATTTCTGTTCACTCCATCTTTCTTTCCAAGCATTGAGGACTACATTTTTGAAAACGGTGTGAACTGACACCTGCATAATTTTTTGACCTGCAAACAAATCAAATAATTAAGTACATATGTATAAACTGAAGTCTTCTATTCTATTCGAGTTTTGTAAAACACTAACTTCTTTATCTCACTAGGCTATAATCCATCTTAATTAAAACCACTGGACGGTACGACCAACATTCATAACTCGTAATATTTTGTGATAATCCTCCAAAGCACAGATGGGAACAAAAATCCTGTGCACCATCATGCGGAATAATATTTTAGACATTTTTTCTAAAATTGGAATACACGACAAATGATTCAAATGTATGTAATTTTTAAACCAAGCCAATTGGTTCAATTTTTTGTTGTTGGCTGTAAAATATCTTTATAAGTTTCCATGTCAAATAATTAGTACCTCCGGCATTGGTCCAAGAAAATCTGTCCGAGCCAGTGGTTCTTAACCTTTTTTTTTCTCTCGTTACGCATTTAAGTTGCACCAAATTTTTTTAAAAGGAAAAAGTACGAGAAAAACAAAAGTTCTTGCCGCGAAAATAGACACTTACTCTGAATAAAAACTACCACTCTGTAGCAAAAAACAGCAGGATAATTCATTGCTACTACAATCAAATTATTAATAGATTCCTAACCCACCTAAAAATATTCCTGTGGCCCATCAATGAGAGGGAGACCCAGTTGAACAACAGGGGTGATAACTTTTTTGTGGCTTTGGAGCCAGGCCACACAAAAGGGGCCAGGCCACGGAGAAAATGGGGCCAGGCCACAGAGAAAATGGGGCCAGGCCACAGAGAAAATGGGGCAAGGCCACGGAGAAAATGGGGCCAGGCCTCAGAATATTCGGGGCCAGGCCAGCGCAATGGTAATGTTAAGACATCCGTATTTGTTTAGTTATATTTTTGTTTATAAGTAATGTGGAAACTGGTAATGTTAAGACATGTACGGTACCGTACCGGTACTTGTACAATTGAACCGTATCGTATGTTACAACCAGGGAAAATGCTGTATTCGAACACTTACTCATTACAAATGTACCGACTCCATAATCAGCAATAGAATAGAAAATAATAGATAAAAACAAATGATAAAGTAACTGATTATAGAATCGGGAAAGCAAACAAAACCTCAAGTAAAGTTTGAAGCCTACATATTTCAGATGGAAAGGTATTGATAAAAGAAGTAGTACGTGTTCGCTCACCCAATGTATTACTTATGTGAGGGGGTATATTGCGAGCGATACATTATTGTAGTGTTTCTACTGGTCACCGTATCTATACATTTATATTCCTCACCGCATTCATTGTCTTTTTACTGTAGCGTGAACTGGTGCCTATATGTTAAAAAAAACTCAGTGAAATAAGTTATATTTATTGCTTGTTGCATACCTTTTTGTGATTGTTAATTTTTTTAGCGAATATGTGTTGTTATTTAATTATTTTCATACAATACATGGTTAATAGATCAGTGAATAATTCCACCAGTGACTCAAATGCTATTATTAAATGAAGTCCGTACTGATAAATTGTGTAGTTCTACCTGTATTGCATAGGCAATTGACAGGGGTTTACACGCTAAGATGTTTTAGATTTGTAATACAAATTGCAGGCACAACATATCGGTAGCTGGTATACGCTATCACAACCACTAGTATCCCAATACTCAACATGCAAAAAAGACTACTCTTCTCCGTTATACATTATCCCTAACAGAAAACAAGATCCATGCATACCAGTTGATTAACTGTTTCATTTATTGAAAAATATGCAAAAAAAATTGCAAACACCAGATTGGCAGGATTCCAACATACTCTTTTTTAAAATAAGATTCATCTCCGAGGGAGTCCTTTTTGTTAGCATCTTAAGACTTTCCTATTACCGATAATTACTTCAATTATATTCAGCGTAATGAATATCAGGGATAAATGTTCAATCATAAGACTGTTTTTTCAATATAAGTCATCATAGATATATCGGAAAAGTAACAGTAGTACAAACGCATATTAGATAATCATAAGCAAGGAAATTGTAAGACTCTTTTGACTGGAACTGGTTTAGAGATTCAAGGGAAAATTCGCAAAATTCAATTTGGTATTTTTTCAAATTTGTTTTTAGCAACCACACTGGTAAGGTTGAGTATCTCCTACACAATATAAAACCAAAATTATATAGAGTCCGTATTGTTGTCATCATAGCAGACACCATGATATAATTTCTTCTCTCCAAGCTATAAAACAAAAAAATTATGTTAAAATTCTTGATGACTTGAGTGGTTTATTATTTTACAGTACTGGGAATCAAAATACCTATTTCACCAATAAATACTTTTTAATCCTGCACACCATTTTGAGAATACAGGTAAAACGTAAAATTAAATGGTAGTGATATTAGGGAGTGGGGTTTTATGGCACGGTTGTTAGCAACAATATGGGATGAAATTTATCTAACAGAAGGAAGTATGTAGGTTTCATATAGAATTATTACATCATTTTTATCATTGTCAACTATTCAATCCAAATCTAACGAAGATTCAATAAAACATGGTGTTTATTCGACTAGACCAGGGGTTCTCAACCTTTTTTCTGCAAAATACCCCCCCCCCCAGGCACGAAACAATCAACGTGAACCCCCAGTAATGTGACACCGAACAAAGTTGTGATATATCGATTAACAATTTGTTGAAACAACAATTTATTGACCAGATAAAACTAAATTTAATTTCCCTGTTACTAATATTGCCCTAACTAATAAATTCTTGAAATCCCTTTCAAGTTTCAATAAGGATATCACTTTCTCCAGTGCTCGCAGCACGCTGTATTTTCTGTGAATTTCACATTGTTTACGTCACAATCACAACAACGCAAGATCAGGGAAAATCTATGTTTCAATTGGCATCCAGTTACAATCGGCACGCATTTTCCTCTGGTAGTAATAAAGGATATTAAAAACAGCAACACGCAAAAACTCGACTGCCATCCAAGTACCCCCTGAAATCTTTTCGCGAACCCCAGGTTGAGAACCCCTGGACTAAAGACTGCTTGGTCCATCCCTGATTTGTATACATCGCAGATCACTTCATTATCAAAAACTCATTAAGTTAGGAAACAAATGGAATGGGCCAATTTTTATATTCTATTCTGTTTTTACTTATTGTTGCCTATGTCCTGCTATAAAGCTCAGTACAAACAATACGTCAAACTCACATTGAGGTACGTAGAATCTGAATAAATCTTCGAGCAATCATAATACCACACTTGCCAATTCCACGTCATTCTATTGTTTTATGTACGCGATGTTTTGGAGAAGCAAAATCAATAACATGGAAACTGCGACAACTGTTTGCATGTCGTTACGACGTGAGCACCTGAGATTATGTTATTTGTTAAAGCCATACTGAACAATTTTTTATCATGTGATACAATTAATACATATTAGGCATTACATGTATTTCTTTACAATGCTTAGTGATTGAGGCAATATTTAAAAATGAAACCAATAGTGGCAAAAAATTCACATCTTACACTTTTATAAAAAAAAGAGTGCTTAATAGGGAACACCATTTGCAAAAAACATCTTGCGAGAACATCTCTTGACAATGAAATTTTTCCAAATACAGCATAAAAATAGCAAATAGTCAAGAAAAATTGTGAAAGAACTTGCAAATGTTATTTTAGGAAAACAAATGTACAAAATTCAGACTTGACTATTAGACACAATCTTGACTGGAACAAAAAAATTTAACCATGGAGATTGTATTCAGGTCTCATCTGTACAGTTATTGTTACAATGATGTGATCAAGGCAAATAATACCAAATCTTACCATTATACTATTCCATCTATTTTAGTATTTAATCTTTGTAGTGGAATCTCGTTCGGAATATAGTTCTTCTCGGAAAAACTTTTTCGCTTGATTCCTGTTTTCATTATCAATTTAAACAATCCCTGAAAGCAGATCCAATTATGTATGTAGTAGTAATCATCACAAGAATATAATACAAATATGTTATGCATGCTTCAGGTGGATATAAAAATATAAGGAATATTAATAAGTATTTCTAGCTTTGTCACAACCGTAAAACATTGCAGAACAATCTCAAAAACAAATATATACTTAAATCTCCACTCAAACCATTTGAATGACTAACGAATATAAAAGTGTGAATCAAAGCTTCCCCCAAAACCAGTCTCAAATGAAAAATCCAGTGCGCCAGCTAATGTTATCTAATAAATAATATACATTGTAATATTAGGCTAAAATGTATAGTCTGATATGAGTATTACTTATAAATAGTTTGAGTAAGATAAGCTTGAAATATTTTTCCCAACCTGGTAAATGTAAACTACAAATTAGCTTTCATATTCATAATCTATGATCAAATTGATATGATACCAGCTTCTTACAGCCTAATTCTTGTATACATTCCTCAGTTATCGTATAGTATCTGTTTCACTGCGATCATTACTCATATCAGCATATATACTGAACAAAAAACATTAATTCCCCAAAAAGTGAAACAAATCTTATGGTACTATTGTTGTAAAGTAACTTAACCATCATTACAAACCTGTTATATGAAATAAAAACTATGACTATTCCACTTCCGACAACATTCAGACATTGCGTCCCCGAATCACCTCGCTGTATGAATCCACTTTTTAAACTGCACTTCCCGGCAACAAATTTCAAAGTATTTACTTTTCAGACAGTCAAACATGATTTCATACTATTATGGTTACCTGTAACTTGAAGATCTTTACTAACCTGTTGAAAACCATGAAAAAAAAAAATACAAAATCATCTCCATAACAGAAATCAAGTATGGCTCCATATACAGATATACCATGTTTCCCCAAGAATAAGACTGGGTCTCATTTCAATTTTCTTCCGAAAAATAACACTAGGGCTTATTTTCGGGGGATATCTTATATTTTTATTTATTAAAAACAAACTTAAAAAGTAGAGAATTACGAGATTTTCAAATATACAAACTATGAACCTATATATATTATAACCTATATATGAACCTCGGTTAAATGTGATTCAAGCGAATTCTTTTCACTAATAAGGTTTGCCTGTACCTTCAAGATCATCACTAACCTGTTAAACACACAAAAAATAAGACTAATCCACACCTCATAACAGAATTTGAGTGTGGCTCCATATTACTGAACTGCTCAAGTCTGTGGCTCCATTTTCTATCCTGTATTTCCAGGCAATAAATTCTCGGTAAAATGCGATTCAAGCATATTCTTTTCACTAATAAGGTTTGTCTGTACCTTCAAGATCATCACTAACCTGTTAAGCACACAAAAAATAAGACTAATCCACTTCTCAAAACGAATTTGAGTGTGGCTCCATATTACTGAACTGCTCTAGTCTGTGGCTCCATTTTCTATCCTGTATTTCCAGGCAATAAATTCTCGGTTAAATGTGATTCAAGCGTATTCTTTTCACTAATTAGGTTTGCCTGTACCTTCAAGATCATCACTAACCTGTTAAACACACAAAAAATAAGACTAATCCACTTCTAAAAACGAATTTGAGTGTGGCTCCATATTACTGAACTGCTCTAGTCTGTGGCTCCATTTTCTATCCTGTATTTCCAGGCAATAAATTCTCGGTTAAATGTGATTCAAGCGTATTCTTTTCACTAATAAGGTTTGCCTGTACCTTCAAGATCATTACTAACCTGTTAAACACACAAAAAATAAGACTAATCCACTTCTCAAAACGAATTTGAGTGTGGCTCTATATTACTGAACTGCTCTAGTCTGTGGCTCCATTTTCTATCCTGTATTTCAAGGCAATAAATTCTCGGTAAAATGCGATTCAAGCATATTCTTTTCACTAATAAGGTTTGTCTGTACCTTCAAGATCATCACTAACCTGTTAAACACACAAAAAATAAGACTAATCCACTTCTCAAAACGAATTTGAGTGTGGCTCCATATTACTGAACTGCTCTAGTCTGTGGCTCCATTTTCTATCCTGTATTTCCAGGCAATAAATTCTCGGTTAAATGCGATTCAAGCGTATTCTTTTCACTAATAAGGTTTGCCTGTACCTTCAAGATCATCACTAACCTGTTAAACACACAAAAAATAAGACTAATCCACTTCTCAAAACGAATTTGAGTGTGGCTCCATATTACTGAACTGCTCTAGTCTGTGGCTCCATTTTCTATCCTGTATTTCCAGGCAATAAATTCTCGGTTAAATGTGATTCAAGCGTATTCTTTTCACTAATTAGGTTTGCCTGTACCTTCAAGATCATCACTAACCTGTTAAACACACAAAAAATAAGACTAATCCACTTCTCAAAACGAATTTGAGTGTGGCTCCATATTACTGAACTGCTCTAGTCTGTGGCTCCATTTTCTATCCTGTATTTCCAGGCAATAAATTCTCGGTTAAATGTGATTCAAGCGTATTCTTTTCACTAATAAGGTTTGCCTGTACCTTCAAGATCATCACTAACCTGTTAAACACACAAAGAATAAGACTAATCCACTTCTCAAAACGAATTTGAGTGTGGCTCCATAATACTGAACTGCTCAAGTCTGTGGCTCCATTTTCTATCCAGTATTTCCAGGCAATAAATTCTCGGTTAAATGTGATTCAAGCGTATTATTTTCACTAATAAGGTTTGTCTGTACCTTCAAGATCATTACTAACCCGTTGAACACACAAAAAATAGGACTAATCCACTTTTCATACCAGAATTTGAGTGTGGCTCCGTATTACTGCATAGCACCATGGCCTGGCCTGGCCTGGCCCCGATTTCTCCGTGGCCCGGCCTCAATTTCTCTGTGGCCCGGCCCCAATTTCTCCGTGGCCTGGCCCCAATTTCTCCGTGGCCTGGCCCCATTTCAGTGGCCTGGCCCCAAAGCCACAAAAAAGTGATCACTCCCTCTCCAGTTGAAGCAGATCCGATAAATGGGCGTTCCGCGTTACTATTATTTGATTGGCTGCGGAAAGCCAAACCTACTGACTGTCAACACAGCGGATTTCCTTGCGGATTGACCGAATCTGCATTTGAGTGTAGCAGTTCGCGGTGCAACACGTTTTGTTTAAACTGTACGGCATTCAGAATAGCGCAATGTTGTCTTCTGGAAGAAGGATAATATTTACCGGGTTAAAGCAACACAGGTGCGTAATTTTTAATATCAATACATATACTTTGAGGCTTCCAAAAATTTGCTATAAAGGGAGAAGTGTTCCAGTTAGGGTCTCGTGTAGTTTCGTACCTAACGTACTTTTAGTAGGCGTAGCATAACAATTTTTTGACATGCCAATCCTAACCCTCACCTGACTACGTAGTTTCGTACCTAACGTACTTCTAGTGGGCGTAGCATAACAATTTTTTGATATGTCAATCCTAACCCTTATCTAATTATGCCATCCAAAAATAAATCACTACGACATCACAATCACGTCATAGAGCTTGCCAAATATACGCACGATCGACCGAAATGGCATTGGTGCCGACGATAAAGAACTGACTGACGTTATCGGTCTCTCTCCTATTGGAATCGTTGCGACGAGAAAACGAGAGAACTAACTGTTTGATTTCGGGTTCTTGTATTCGCGTCTTGGATGACAGTTCGCATAGTTTGAAGGGCTCTATTACGTCACTGTGACGTTGTAGTGACGTAATTTTTGGATGGTGTGGTCAGGTGGGGGTTAGGATTAACACATGAGAAAATTGTTATGCTACGCCTACTAGAAGTACGTTAGGTACGAAACTACATGAGACCCGAACCTGACTACGCCATCCAAAAATTACCTCACTGGGACGTCAAAATCCTGAAATAACATCATAGAGCTTGCCAAATACTCGTACGATTGCCCGAAATGGCATCGGCGCTGACGATAGAGAACTGACTAACGTTAGCGATGTCTCTCCTATCGGGATCGTTGCGACTAGAAAACGAGAGAAATTGCTGTTCGATTTCGGGTTCTCGTTTGCGTGTCTTGGATGATAGTTCGCATAGTTTGAAGGACTCTATTACGGTTGATAGTCAGATAGTTACGGTAGCCACTGATACCGTACTTCATACAGTTGCTAAACCTGAAGGACTGGCATTGTGTACTCAATTTATTACATTCTGGTAAAAGCTGTTAGGTCTGTAGGTATCGGCCTTTTTGGTACCTGTTGTACTTGCTGAATTAAGCTGTTGCATCAACTTTTCTATATACAGATATTCACCGAAAGATATAAAAAATGTTATCCCATGGTCTTTTTCATGCCTTTTTCAGCTGTTTGTGCTTTAGCAATTTTGTCAATTTCTTTGTACGAGTTCCTAAATTTAAATTATGTGCAGATAGATTATATATCTCTGTATCTGCAGATTTTTTGTTGTTACAGAACAATTCCTGAGTTCTCATAGCTGCTGGTCTTTCTCCCGGAATTTATAACCAAACATGTTTTACTGTTTATTTCCAATTGATACTGATATAATTGAGTGTATAGTTCAATCCTTAAATAATGTTTGTACAGTAGTAGGGCAATACTTGACATTTTACTTTTTAATACAGCAATGGTCAATACAAAATATTTGCTAAGCATTTTATTCAAAATCTTTTCCTTTTTGAAAGGTTGCAAATAACTGCGAGAAGTATATCAGTTCAGAATGAACCGATTTATGACTTTACTCCTGGATCAAAAGAAAGACAAGATGTTTTGGATGCTTTGAAATTAGTTGAATCTCGTGTTGAAGACATACCTATTGTTATTGGCGGTGAACATGTTAAAACAAACGACATTCATTATCAAGTCTCGGTAAGTTCGAATTGCACCAACTGTTAGGAATACACTTGCCATCGCACTTCCCATTATTTTACATGAGTTGAATCCTGTAGGGGATGATTATATGTGAGAGGAGTTCTAGACTCACCTCAAGGTGGTTCGTGTAACTGCTGCTTTTACAACTCCCACCATCTACTTGCTCAGGTTCGTGCAAATATCTGGCTAACTAATTCCATACCCAATATAGACTGGTAACTGGACGAGAGGCTGTGATAGGCCTATGCCATATGATTAAGTCTGTGAAATCCTAACCTATCCTTCTGGTTTGCACTCTAAAGAAAGCAGTGAAAAAATAACGAAGGAAAAATCTATTGTTATGTCTGATTTTCACTTTGATGGGAATATTCATTATAAACTGTGCACTAGTTGTTGGCACACTTTTGTTTACTTTTTTTTATTTATGTTCAGCGAATCAGCGTTAGGTTTAGTAAATGTTTTGGATATTTTTAGAATACATTTGCTTTATATTCATCACCATCACATATTTGTCATAATTTTTTATTATCCAGATATACCATTATACCAATCATGTCTATGTTTTTCTACAGCCGTATGACCACAAGCAAAAAATTGCAAAGTTTTGTTATGCTTCTTCTGACCTCATAAACAAAGCTATTGAAAACTGTCTTTCTGTTCGGGCTGAATGGGAAAGAAAACCAGTTGAAGATAGGGTTCAAGTATTTTTAAAAGCAGCTGATAAAATTGCTGGAGAAAAAAGAGCAGAAGTGTTGGCTACTACAATGGCGGGACAGGTAACATGATTTATATTTAACAAAATTTTATAAGTCATAGAATTTAATACTTTTAAGCTTTTTCATAGAAATTTGCCCAAACCAAGATCACATGAACTAACGCACAAAAAAAAGAGATTTATCTCTGTGAGCGAAGTTATGGGCGGCGATCAAAGTTGCATGAGATACTGAGAGATAGATAAATAAATTGTTAAATTATGCATAATTACCAATTGACACGCGACTTAGTAAAGCAGTTCATGCCTGTACAATCGGGAAACAGCTTTTAAGTAGTGAATCCCAGATAACTGAAGTTTTTGGAAAAAAACTTTGGTCATAAATGGTTTTTTGTCTGATAAGTACACTGACGATAAATGGGTGAGGGCTCACAGCCAACAGAGGTTATCCCTTGGAAGTGTATAAACGAAGACACAAATACTGATTAATGTCAATTAATTAATTAACATAACTCGAATTCTTCACTTTTATATTTGATTATAGATTAGCTATGAATTCAATTTCCAGGGTAAAAGTATCATACAAGCAGAGATTGATGCCGGTCCGGAGTTGGTGGATTTCTTCAGATTTAATGCAAAATATGCCCTGGATATGGTTCAAGAACAACCTATTAGTCCAAGTCCAGATGTATATACGAATACCACAGAATACAGGGGCCTTGAAGTAAGTAAAGTTAACATTCGAACAAACAAAATATGCAAATTGAGAAATCTTAAAACTGTTAAAAATGTTTTATGCTATCGTAGAGAAACAGGAGACAAACCGATACATTATTTGTATGAACAGAAAGCTGCTATGTTTGTTCATACTTGAGTCTTGATCTATTTATGGTTCTTGAAAACTAATGTAAGATTTCCACATTCTTCTTTTATGGGTTATGTATATTCGAAACGAAGCTTTAGACAAGCAGTCATGATACCTAATGAGGAGATACTGCTTTTGAAGTGAACAGAATATATCTAGTTCGACATTGCATGAACGTTTAAAATTTTTGATGCTACTATAATAGTAAGGACCTATGTATCATAATCATGCTTGTTTTATCCTACAGGGATTTGTTGCTGCTATATCACCTTTCAACTTCACAGCAATTGGGGGAAACTTAGCTGGAAGTCCTGCAATGATGGTAAATATACTTTCACTGTTTTAATGCGAGCCAAGAGATAAGAAAAATTCATATCTTCTTTGTCATTTCTTTCTTGGACAATGATCTGATGCATCTGTAAACGTATCAAAAAGAGAAAGAGCTCATTTGGCGCTAACTAAGTAAACAATGAGTAAAATAAAATCTATAAAAATAGAGCCTACTTGAAGAAGAGAACTATCATAATTTTTCTGACTCTTTGGTGGTAATACGGAAAAATCCTCATTTAAAGTGAAGTCTGCTTATTAGCCGTAAATAGGTCTTATTGCTATTGAATTTAAAATGTTTCCTTATTGTCCTAGAATATATTCTTACTTTCAATCTTCCTTTTAGGGAAATGTTGTACTGTGGAAACCAAGTGACACAGCTATGTTGTCAAACTGGTCTGTTTACAAAATATTAGAAGAGTGTGGACTACCCCCTGGTGTTATACAGTTCTTGCCTGCTGATGGACCAACCTTTGGTGACACAATTACGGCTTCTGAGCATCTCGCTGGCATAAATTTTACAGGGAGTGTCCCGTGAGTTATACACTATTTTTGTAAACAGAATTATCATAATCGTAAAATGTCAAATATAGGCGAGAAGCATTTACAAGGTGTGGCTTTTGCTACAATGAGTAATGTGTTTGTGTTAATATCTCGCTGGTATAAACTTTACAGGGAGTGTCCCGTGAGTTACACACAATTTTCATAAACAGAATTATCGTGATCATCAAATGTAAAAATATAGGCGGAAAAATTTATGAGATATGTTTTGAATCAATTTTGGATTTTACACATTCAGAGTACTAAGCATTTCTATATAGTTTTAGTAGTCTTGGCACTTTTGTGATCACTCGCAACTTTGCTCAAAGATTAGTCTCCTTTGTTTCGAGTGAAAGCATAATATGACCCCGTTTTGAGCATTTTTTCTTGTTAAGATAGAACATAATGAATCTATGGTTATGTCTTCAGAATTATTTTTGGTACCCATTTCTTCTGCTTTTGAGAAAGACGCCATTTTTATGTCCTTATATTCAAGCATTGTTCTATTTCTATAATGTTACTCGTTAAAGTATCGGATAGAGCACAAAATTCAGGACTTTGAAACAGTTGCACAAAAATGCCCTGAGAACGATTAAGCCTACTCATAGCTAGGCACATGTATATTCGAGAATGATATTTATTGATATTGTTATATGTTTTTTCAGGACATTCAGTCGTTTGTGGAAGCAAGTTGGAGAAAATCTTCACAAATACAGAACATTTCCAAGGCTGGGAGGTGAATGTGGAGGAAAAAATTTCCATTTCATAAAATCTGGAGATATTGAAAAGTGAGCTTTTTTCTATTCTAGTCAAATCATGATAATAATGCATAACTTAATAAGCACTTTGACTGTGGTTGCTACCGTTCCACAGACTATTCATATTCATTTTTATGTTAATTGGATAATTTTTTCATCTTTGACCCTTTCTATGCGTTTTTCTTTTATTAAATAATCGTATTTGCTACGCCGATTTTATGCATTTGTACCCCCACAACTAATCGATTGTCTAACGAAAAACTAATGATCCTCCGCTGCCCACTGACAGCTCGTTGGAAAGCTTATTGAAAGAGTTTGCAATTGGCGAGTAAAAAAAAAAAGTTTTTTTAAAAGTGGTGGTCTGAGTCACAAACCGGATAGAAAAAAGGCATTTTTTTTTTCTTGGGAGTTGAAACTTCAAATCGTGATAAAAAATTGAAATATTCGCTAAATCCTTTACTGTTACCGCTTCGTGGTTGGCAAACAATAGCATAATATTGCTGTAGCAATTTCGTGATCTAACTCAAAATACTTTGGTAGATGGAAGGGATAATATGTCTTCTATTACCACCCAAAAAACACCGAAATTTGCATAAATTTCAAAAACACTCCCTCGTTCCGCCGCAAATAAAATTCCCGTCGTAAACGAAAGCGAGATTTACCGTCGCTTATGTTAATCTCGAAGAAGACTTCTTATCAATAAACTAAAACCCGGAAAAACTAGACCAACAGTTTGTGACCGATTGCTAAATAAAACAGTGGAGTACATCAACGTACCCGCCGCAATCTAGCGACTTTTGTCGTTGGTACGTATACGTGCCCACCGCACGGAAAGGGTTAATGAGGTATTACATATACTAGGCTATGTTAAAATGTATATTAGCTAATCTAAAAGTGAGTTATGTCAATTATCTATTGGTATATGTATGTAGACTTCTTACTCTAAATTTCATTTCAGCATTGTCAATGGAACTATCCGTTCAGCGTTTGAATACAGTGGTCAAAAATGTTCTGCATGTTCTCGGGCCTATATTGCTGAATCTATGTGGCCAAAAGTAAAAGAAGCTCTTGTTGAGGCGCAGAAGAAATTAAAAATAGGGAATGTAAGTTGTTCTGAATATGTTAGATTAGTGGTTTTCAAACTATTTAAGCCGCACCCTATTTCTAGAATTTGTCAAGTCTTGCGTTCCACCTTAAAAATAACTAGCTGACAATAAACTACAAATCTCGGATAGTAAGGCGAAAGTATGTTTTATTCAAAAATCATGTTGAAAATATGTGGATGGAACGTAAATATCCAAAATAAAGAAATGTGAAGATCCAAAACAAGGCGGGACAGATCAAATCTAAGTAATATGCTTATTTTTAATTGGCTTCACGCCTTCCTTGTAGGGCACGCCCAATTGTTGAAAACCACTGTGTTAGAAAAAACATGTTTCTGGTGGTAAAATAGCATTTCATCTCTCAAGTTGCAGTTTGAAATTGTGCCTTTACTGTGTCTTCATGAATTTTATATTCTTTTGTTATGGGTATTGGCAAATTCAATTAATAGATCGTCTATTTTTAAACAATCAGAAGGGCTAGACCCAGAAATTAAAATAGAGTTATCATAATCTTGACCTGTTTATATGTTTGCTAAAATTGGATAAAATAACATTCTGTATGCATGGAAAATTCTTTGTTATTCCATTTTGTTTTTCTGTTTTTTACAGCCATCAGATCTCAGTGTTTTTAGTTCAGCCGTGATTGATGGAAACTCGTTTGAGAGAATTCGTTCTTATCTAGAGCACGCTCATCAATCACCTGATATTGAAGTATTAGCAGGCGGAACTTGTGACGATTCAAAAGGTTATTTTGTGCAACCTACGATTCTTCTGTCTAAAAATCCAGATGAAAAACTCATGAAAGAGGTTCGTTTTCAATAATACTTAGAAATTTCATTCATATTCAATGGCCGTGTTCAAGATTTTAGTAACATTTTCTCCTCTGTATGAAACTCTCTAACAACTGATCAAGGATTTCTTATGTAAATCAAGACCTTTTGTACCTTATGCAGTGGTGTGCACCGCTATACTGGGCTATAATTGGCGCGGTGGTGGACTCATCGTGCTAAGGGTTAGGAATAAGCTCACCACCACACCTCTAATTACTCTGCGTGGGTTCTCAGGTTCGAATACCATGCAGGGATGGTTATGTGCTAGAGGACGCCGTAGGGTGGTTCACGTAACCGCTGGTCGGTTACGGCATCCTCCACCATCAAGTCCATGCTTCCGAAAACAACTAATACCATACCCAACATGGAATGGTGACTGGACGAGAGGCCATGGCACGCCATATGGTTAAGCCGTCTTATCGGCTTCCTCTCCCCCGGGATGAATATGTAAATCCTATCCTACTTCATCAGGTTGAAACATATATGTAATGTTAGACACGTTATTTGCTTGACACTAATATATAAAACGTCAGATGGAAGTAAATTGGTCTTTCTGTGTGTTCGAGGAACAAGGAGGAAAGTAAAATCAATTATAAAGAAAACGTGGCCGTATATTTGAACAAAACATTTCATTTTTATATATCTCATCCAAATTTCATTATTAACAGGAAATTTTTGGGCCTGTTCTCACATGTTATGTTTACAAAGACTCCGATTACAAAGATGTTTTAAAGTTAATTGATAGTACTTCACCATATGCTCTGACCGGATCTATATTTTGCGACGATGAGTAAGTCCACTTGCTGCTTTGTTAGCAGATTTAAATATTGGAAGTTTTGTATAACAGCTTCATACACTGGGAAAAATATTTTGATCATAAAAACTGACATGTGCAAGCCTTGTTTAATTGCTTTATGAATTCTTCAACCTGAAGCTTTTTTATTTTCTGTCAGAAATTCTCATTTTGAATCATAATTAGAAGTTTGAAATTTCAGTCTGCTATATTTATCAGTCTGTCCTAATAGTTAGATCTGGCATTTTATAACGGTTCCCTGAAAGATTTTGAATGTTGAGAAAAGTAATTATGTGTGACTCTTGTACTTTCTAGCTGTCAGACCCATGACAATAAACAACTACCATATATATTTTCAGAACTGTTATTGATGAGGCAAAAGAAGTGTTGCGTAATGCTACTGGAAACTTGTATATAAATGATAAATCAACAGGATCCGTCGTTGCACAGCAATGGTTCGGGGGAGCGAGGAAATCTGGCACCAATGACAAGCCCGGTGGTCCATATTATCTTGTCAAATGGGTGTCACCTGTTGTTGTGAAACGAACCTTTCAACCATTGAAAGATTGGTCTTATCCATCCATGGTAGACGGAAGATAATGAATTAACTTGGTTTCAATATAATCGTACCGTTATCAATCCAACTTCCGAAGAGCAATATTTATTCAATATAAAAGTTTCAGATTTTATTCTTTCTAATGAAATTATAGAAGCTATGTCAACAAAAGTTCCCTATTATGTTTGTAAATGTTTGGTGTATTGGTGTCTTTTTTTTAAATGGGCTCCATGGATAATGAGCTTGCAATCATTGTGCCACTTGCCATGGGTCCCAACTGAGTGTATATAAGACCATTTGGAGAAACTAAACCAATCCTTAAACAAACTTGACATGACCCAAATATCGCATCATTCTTGACAAAGATATTGTAATCAACTGAAAATTCTCCCAATAGAGAATCAAGGTAATGAAAAGTGGATTCTATAATCCGACTCAAAATGTGTAGCAACGAAGTCTGTGTTGTGTCTGAATGGTTTTACCTATGTATTTGTTGTTTAATATTGTTAGAGTTATGTAAATTTGTATCCTGTAACAAAACTCTGTGTCCTTGTGGGAAGGTGTCTAAATTTTTACCACATTGCTTGATGTCCAGACTGATCAACTGCTAAGTGTCAAATAGATTTTTTTTTCAATAAATAACTCATATTATTGTAATTAGTTGTGATACAAATACAGGTTCTCAGAAGTACATATTCGAATAAAGACAACTCGATTCACAGTTTTGGGTCACAGACTCGCAAGTGGTTGTCCACCCACCACTTGCAATAAGAGTAGAACATTTTCTAAGGTAAATGATATAACATCTCCGTTAGTGTGGGTGGTTCGGCGGATGTCTTATCCAGATTGATCTCCTTGGGAAACCCACTTGAAAAACACACCCTACCTGCTCGCAAGTAGCAACTTAGAATCGAGATTGGTTGCGCTAGGTCAGCGTTTCCCAACCTTTTTTGGTCGCGGACTAATTTCTCACCGGCGAAAACCTTTGCGGACTCAAGGTGGGTTTATTGCAACCATATTCTGTGTGAAGAAGCGAACGCATTTGAAAATCGGAATTTCACCGCAATTACGCGTCCGTAAAAAGAGTCGATTTTTTTAGTGTATAATGGCCTTTTCTGTCGCACTATATTCAATTCATGACAACGACGAGAATTTAAAATGTTTTTCTATTTTAATGCCACAGCAATCTGCTGACATATTACCCGATTATATTTAGTTTTGATACATATTCTTAGATATCTTGCAAATTTGTTATCGTCGTTAGAAAAATCCTACTATCTGCTATAAATTTCCAGAAAGTACAACTTGATTTAGTACTTATTAAAAAATATATTTAAAGTATATTAATTTAATGGTGATCATTTTAATCTGCGGTTGTGTTGACAAAATAAAAGCAATACTAATCAGAAAATACCATAACAATCCGTGGACACAAAAATGTGTGATAATGCCCGATTATATTTTGTTTTAATTCGTATTTTTGTGAATTCAACAAATCTGAGCTGTTCGTACAACACTTACGGCTCTCCAGTACTGTACAGACCAATGTGGAGGCATAAGGGAAAATGCCCTGGTACATATACTAAAGTATCACCCGAAATTCTGCGATTTGCGATGTCTAAAGAAGCGTTTTTAATCGGTCGCGTACAATCATAAAACAAAAGTTATCGTGTTCTCCGTTTTATTTTTAGTTTTTTTGTATTGCCGCTTTTTAATTCAGAAAATCTGGGTTGCCACTTGCCACCATTGACACCTACTAAAAAAAATTATTTTTCGTTGTTTGAACTCGCTAGAAACACCACACGTGTGCTCGGGTTTTCGTCAGAAATTCGCAAGTGAGTTGTGAAATCCAATCGTTTTGACCTGTCGCGTCACCTGTTACCAAATTTTCGAAAAGTGAATTGCTATTCTAATAGTTGAATATCGAATATATGCCCAGCCATACTCAGTAACTAGTAATAATTGACTTGATTAATGTTATGTGGAAAAACTTGCTTTTTATGTGAATTTTAACGTAAATCGTTACTTGGCTGATAGTTAACTTTTGCAAAAAAAACGTTTGCGGCCCGCAGTGAATTTCTGGCTCGTTGCGGACTCATTCAAATGCCTTGGCGGACTCGGGTTGGGAAACACTATGCTAGGTTTAAAGTTTTGTTGTTGATATCAAATCGTCCATGTTTGACCGAAGTTACCACCAGGGTTATGGTGTCAAGGGAAAAATTATATTCAAATCCAGTTTGAAAAAAAATCTGAATTTAGGATTTTCAAAATTTTGCAAACCTCATTCAATATACGGTTAAGCATGCTTAGTTAAACGTTCGGCCCGCGGTTTCACCCAGCAGTTTGAACCTCCAATGAAAGCATGACTGTATAGCTCTGCCTATGGACAATTTTCAGACCTTGCCACGTTTGGTTCAGTTTCTAATAAAGATCAAAAAAGGTAATAAAGACCAATTGCCTGCTTTAAAATGATGTCAAATACATGAATCAATAATTGAAATATAGTAATTCTGTGAACAGTTTCCTGGAAGCCTTTGCTAAAGTATAACCACTTTTTATGATTTGAAAGTTTTTTAAAAAAAAAATCATAAATAGATCATTCAATAACAACAGTTCCACCTGCCTCTGTTAATGTTTTTGATAATTCCTCAGCTTCTGTTTTTGGTATTTCTTGTCGTACAATTTGTGGTACACTTTCCACAAATCCTTTCGCTTTTACAAGATTGAGGTTTGGCATTAAAAGTTTAATTGCTTTGATTAATTTAACTTTTGAATCTGGTTTGAAAGCAGTAAGTTTGACTGTGAACTCAGTTTGTTCTTTCGAAGCTGGAGCTTCATCTTCCGCTTGAGCAGCGCTGGCACCGGGAGCAATACCTCCACCAACCATCATTGGAATATCACTGATATTCAATTTGATTTTTAAGAGTTCGTTTAATTCCGATACTTCTATGAGTGTAAGATTTGAGATGTCATCGACTATTTTTACAATTTTTGGTGGAAATTCTTTACTTCCTTCTAGCGATGGTGGTAGGATTTTCTCGATCTCTTGAGCTGCTGCTGTAGACATTGCATCTTTACCTCTGCGCACGATACCATTGCATTTCAGCAATCGATCAGTTCTAAAAAGTATTCTTGTTTGTCTAATTGCAAACATATTGTTCACTATTTATGGCAATTGCTTGCTGAAATGATAGATTATTATTATGAAAATACTATTAATTCAGTAATTAGACTACTAATATTTTTTTTTATGTTAGAACTATCAAACCAAATTTAAAGACCACAGCAATTGGGTCTCATGTAGTCTAACATGCTTCTAGTGGGCGTAGCCTAACAATTTTTTCACCTGTCAATCCTAACCCCCACCTGACTAATCCATCCAAAAATTACGTCACTACGACGTCACAGTGACGTAATATAGCCCTTCAAACTATACGAACTGCAATCCAAGACGCGCAGACATGCACCCGAAATAGAACAGCTATTTCTCTCGTTTTCTCGCCGCTACGATCCCGATAGGAGAGAGATCGATGACGTCAGTCAGTTCTTTATCGTCTGCGCCAATGCCACTTCGGGCGATCATACGTATATTTGTCAAGCTCTATGACGTAATTTTTGGATGGCCTATTCAGATGGAGGTTAGGATTGACATATCAAAAAATTGTTATGCTACGCCTAGTAGAAGTAGGTTAGGTACGAAACTGTACGAGACCCCAGCAATTGACAAGATTACCCAAAAGCAAAAAGTGATCGAGATAATAATCCTGTTTTGTCAATGTAAATTTCTTTCTGCATTTACTGCCTTGAGATTGACAAAACAAATCTACAGTGATCTAGCAGGAAGCTATTACTGTATTAGTAATTAACGAAAAGAGAAAGGAAGAGAACTTTGCGTACCGGTACCCTATTAAATTCAATAGAATTTTCAAAATACTTGAGAATTGTGATGCTAATTCCATTTTTCTTGAAACTGTCAACAATTTTTTTTTCACAACTCTAGCTAGCTAGTCAGTTACCGGTAACAGGAAAGCAGAATACCGGTATCGCAAGTTTTCGAATGAGAAAGTCGTCCACACTGCGAGAGGCATCTCTACATAAAGCAGATTTCCCTATCGCCTCATTAAATTTATCACATTTTTTTATTTCTTTCTTTTTTTTTTTTTTTTTTTTATGATTCCACAATGTGGTTTATGCAATATATAAAAATCATAAAATAATAAATGAACAACAATAACCAAGTATACAAAAATAACAAAGCATTTCATTACAGTCCATTGATTGTATTGTCCATAGTATCCCATTGCCATTGATATTGATTTTTTTATTTCTTTCGAGAACTAATTGAGAAACGAGCGCCCACCTGTTTATGAAACCTACCCAAACCTTAGAAATAACCAAAGTGACAGTCACTTTGGAAATACCGGTAATCGAACCGAAAGTAAGGCGCGATGCAGCATGGGTGGCACTGGCGCCGGTGGCAACTTTTGTGGCTTCAGTAGATAGACGTCACATAAAATACTGAAAAAATATACAAGTGATGAAAAAACGCGTAACATTTGGGTTGGATCAATTTTGTCATACGTAAATTTATTTTTATAGAATTTAAGATGCCAAAATTGAATATCAACTATATCGTGGAGGTGTCGTATTAAACCCATAAAATTTATTTATACCACCGTACATATTCAGTATAATAATAGGCGTGAAAATGTTTATAAATGTCCTCTTGGAATTTAAAATTAATTTCAAAATTGAAATGAGAATTTTAAGTCAAAATAGCTTGATTACATGGTCAGAATTTTCTAGGGATCCCAATTTTATGTTAAAACGTTTTTATGCCACTATATGATTTGTTTCAAATTTGCCTGTCATGGTTTTGAACGCTGACTCATGTTTATTTTCTATGTAATATTCGGAGTTGCTGGTGCTGACACTAGTGCACGATTGTTTGTGCGTTTACTTCAGATAACTGTAGTTGAGTTGAAATTAAGTTTGAAAAACGAATGGCTCCTGTAACCTCTAAAGAAACACCAGCGGAGAAACCTACCAATGAAAAAGACAAAGTAGAAAAGAAAGAGGAAAAAGAACCTGAGTTGGTTAGTCATATTCTAGCCCATCTTTTTCAGTTGTAATCTTAATGTCACTGGCTTTCAATATTTCCCTGCTCTTTGCTAAGGCAAGGCTTTTGATAAAGAATATATGGTTATACATTGATCAATGCGCATCTAGAAGAATTTGAGGATCCGTGGCTCGGCGGTGTGAAATCAGGTTTTTCAAAAATTATATAAATAAGAAATCAAGGATGTAAAAATATTTAGCTAATGAGAAAATCGAAGTTAAAATATCCCCTCCTTTGCACACCTGAACACGGAGAAACGAAACCTCAAGAATGGTTAAAAAATAAATTACTTCATCCTTTTTTTTTCATTATTTTTGCTTTAGACTATATAAATTTACACATTCGGTTAGTTGACTTTTATCAATATAATAACTTTTTCAATCTAGACTGATGAAGACAAACAACTACTAGATGAATTGAATCTATGTGTGGAAAGATTGAAGGTTTGAATTTAAAAATAGTCTTTTTTAACTGATTGTGTTGTCTGTATGTGTAATGCTGTATGATAAGACAATCCACTTTCACAAGCGTGTGTGTGTGTGCGTGCACACTTTTTATCGTGAGATTTTGGTATGGTTTGAAGCGTTTGGAATTACCGGCAAGTCAGCATAATATCATCTCGTTACGTGATAAAATTCTGATGCGCGAATGAGTCGATTTTTTGGTGCAATCTGAGTTATGCGAGAACGGTCCCTTAGTTTGGCAACTTTTTTTTTTGAGTTTTAAATTCGGCCTATTCGCGAGCATATACGATATGTGGACCTATTATGGTTATAATAAGATTTCACTTTTGACTAATGATTTTCTAATCATATCCAATATTCAACACAAGTTACAAGGTCTTTCCCATGATTTACGGTAATCATAGTTTGAGGAATAGAAATTGTGTAATACAGTATAATATATTATGTGATGAAGTGCAAGCTTTGTTTTCTAGGATGACCCAAATAACAGAACCAATAAATTTCCTAAATACTTCTATGAAAATGAATAAAAACTTATTTATCACTTGAAATTATGTTTGTGTATGACACTTTAGGATTAAATCATTAAAAAGGATTAAAACCAAAATTGTCAAAGTGCCAGAAATCTAGGACGCTTCCAAAGTTTTTTTTTTTAGGGGGTGGGATAGGGTTAACCTGTAATTGTTCTTAGATTCAACCCCACTAGACCACAACCATGTAAACAAATGACTACATTGCCTTTATCGAAGTTTATATGTAAGAATGATTACCTGTGCTGTTGAAAATTATGTACCTATCCTTTTAATTTCACTATTTTTTTACAGGAGGATGACTCTTCTTTATACCACTCAGCTCTTGAAATTTTGCGAACAAAGATTCGTTCATCTACTGCATCATTAACATCTGTACCAAAACCATTAAAATTTCTTCGACCACATTATGGGACTTTGAAAGAAATTTATGAAAAAATTCCAGATGGCAGAAACAAAGTATGTCAGAAAGGATATTTTAAGTGAATCATAGCAGTTGTTGAGATAAATCACATTGAAGAAAAATTGCTTTTATATTATAATGCTGATTGATTTTTTTTCTTTTGGCATCGGAGTCTAAGTCTGGACTTTTGACGGTGATATTAGAAGTCAAAGTTTTTGAGAGAATTGAGAAAGCACTAAGTTGACTACGACAAATAAAGAAAATTTGTATTCGCAAAGTTTTTGTCACCAAAACAGATGTTCACAGCTCTGCCTCTGTTTATAACTTTTTAATTTGGAGCAACAACTGGACCATCTCAATTGTACACAAATCAGGCTTCATTGTCTGATTGGAAAATTTCTGTTTGAAATGAAAGTATTTTTACCCTTTTTTCAGAAATTTTGTGCTGACATTGTATCAGTGCTAGGAATGACAATGTCAGAAGAAAGAGAATGCTTAAAATATCGACTCGTTGGTACTCAGGAAGAAATTGGATCTTGGGGACATGAATATGTCAGGTGTGTTCTCGATAAAAAAAAATATAATTTTACTGAAGAATAAATAAAACCTACAGAAATCATTCAGAGATGCAGTTATAAATTTTAAAGCTCTAATGGCTCTAATCTCAAAATTCATGATATTTATTGGAATCAATTTTTTAACTACCGTATTTACCTATTGAAGTATACAATACCTTCAATTAATCTCAGCCCTGTTTATTAATATACTTGTTTATTCTTCAGACATTTATCAGGTGAGGTAGCTTCTGAATGGAAGGAGATTATGGATGCAGAAGGGGAACCAGATGCTAAGAAGTTGGATGCACTTGGCAACTTAATAGAGGTGGATTACATTTACAATATTCCAAATTTAATTTTTTGTAAGACTAATTTTTATGTGACGCTTATTCCATGCCTATCACTCTGAATAAGGCCCTGTATAAGCAGACACTGATATGTAAGAAGCGTTTATTTTTATGATAGCCATGATCCTTTCGATTCATCACTCTCTACCCAATTCATTATACACATGGTTAGCTCGGAGCAAGGTCCTGAACCCTCCACTTTGAATGGAAGGACTATTGATTGAAGAGTTCCACTATGGCATTGATAAACAGATAACTATATAGGTTTTCAATGCTAGATGGAAATGTAAGGGGGATAAACGGTGACTCTGAGATTGGATACTACTTAAATATAGATTAGCTCAACTGTGTTGTTATCGCAGATTACACATCTCAGGTTCAAATCTCATGACCTCCACCTCACTCAGGGTGTAAATCATAAATTAGGTCGTCGATGCCGGACCAGAGGTATTTGTTGTGATATGGCAGTGGCTGCTTGCACAGGGCCTTGTTGGGAGCAAAATGTTTGAATAAGCATCAATTATAAAATTATAATTTCAAATTTGTTTTGTTTCAGGATATTGTTCCCTATAACATGAAGCACAATGGAGAGACGGATGCTTGTGATTTATTGATGGAAATAAACAAACTTGAATTACTTGATAAATTTGTTGAAAAGAGTACTTTTTCGAGAGTTTGTCTTTATCTAACAAGGTAAATTCTATTGCATTTTCCATAAAATAACAAGACAGCAATGTTCGAATGTATATCACTATGAACATCATAAATCTTTTTAAATTATCATTCGGTTTTCTCAATATCATTCGATGCAACGAAAAAACTTTTTTCTATTTCAGCTGTGTGCCATATACACCCGATCCAGAAAATATAACGTTGTTGAAGACAACTATAAGATTGTTCAGAAATTTTGATCGGTATGCTGAAGCAATGAGACTTGCTTTACAATTGAATGACATGGATGTTATTACTGAACTGTTTCAATCCTGCAAAGATCCGTGAGTGATGTTGCAGATTATCTAAATATATTTTTTCAATCATTTCTTAAACATTACAAAAGTGGGTGTAATGGCTTAGTGGTTAAAGCTTTAGATTTAATTCAGCACACGCAGGCTATGATAAATTGGGTATGCAATGCCAAACTGGAAAGATTACAGTCCTTCAAAACCTGGCATGGGCAAACCACGGCCCGCGGGCCAATCTGGCTCGTTAAGTAATTCAATCTGGCCCGCCTGACGTTGCCACAACAAAACTAAAACCAAATTTTCATGTTTGAGCCAGAAAATAGCTCAAGGAATTTGTCGAGATAATGATTGAATTTGATTTTGGCACAAGGCTTATTGTTTTCTACTTTTTTGCTTTTCTAACACTTTACATATTGTTTATAAAATGCAACTTTTTACATTCCACTAGTCTAGGTGGGCAAAATTTTTGGCCCCCTGGTTTAAAAACCTTGCCCACCCCTGTTCTAAACTATAGTAGGTTCTTACCTGGCAGGCGCTGCTTGTGCAGAGTTTTGTTTAAAGCAGAAGGCATATTAATAATGGACATATGTAGGAGATGAATAGTAACATTTGACATTCTCAACATTTGGAAACTAATTTGAATTTTGTACAAAATTGAAGTCAAATTGGAATTGATTCTCAGTAGAGGCATTGTTTATCCTATATTTTTATTGTCTTTATCGATGTGGAATATATCATTTACATTGTAGAATTATGCAGAAACAGTTATCTTTCATTCTTGGGAGGCAACAAGTTTTTCTTGAATTGAACGATGAATTAGATGAAACTGAAGAATTAAATGAAATCATGAGCAACACCCATCTCAATTCCAACTTTCTCACATTAGCAAGGTTTGTATTGTATAACGATATAATGTGAGTTAGAAGATTTCCTTCCTTATGGGAGACATTTGTCAATAGTAGAGAATGATATTCAAATCCAGACTCGGAAGCGAGTCTACCTAACTTTCATGCCATTGTGCCCACAGATGTCCAATACTGATATAACTGTACATTTTAACTAATCTTTCTTCTCATGTTTTTCCAGGGAACTTGACATCATGGATCCAAAAACTCCTGACGATATTTACAAAACTCACCTGGAGAACAACAGTGAGGCCACTTCAGTACTTTTTCAAAATTTGAATTTCTGTCTAAATATGGAATGCTTTTCCAAAAAACTAATAACTAATTGGCTTATATTTTAGCTAATTAATATAGTTTATACCAGGGTGGTCCAAGGTTGTCGGCTCCGCGGGCCACAAAATTATTTTTGCATTGTTTGCGGGCCACAATAGTGCCAAGAATCGGTAAACAGTGCAATACAAAACAAACGCTTTTATTGTGCAAACACATAGTTATCAGACATAGCCATCCAAGGCTAATAGAATCCTATATTGTAAGCATATATTCCCGACCAAAAAGATAGAAAGCCAGATAATAATTTAGACTGCCAAGCACCTCATTCAACTTCGCTAGTTGCCTCAGCTAGCCATACCACTAGTCAATTTAGTGACATTAGTGATGTAACAATATGTCAAAAGATTTTTCTGATTAATTTTACTACTTACTACTTTTTCGATTACTCTCCGAATGTGAGGCGGGCCATAGATAATGAAGCGACGGGCCACATGTGGCGGACTTCTTCGGACAGTTCGTATTTTTTCTGCTACAGCATCCTTACTTTATACACATGCGGATCCATTAGCGCAAAGGCATTGAGGTTGATAAAGGATTGGGAGTTGGTCTCACGCAACCTCTACTGGTTGTATAGGCCTATCATAGTTTTAAGTTTAGGTAGTTCTAGCATAGTTTAAGTTCTTCCACTCTTTGTATTGAGCATTGTTTAACAATATTATTCAATAAATTCTCCATCTTTTATAATAGGACCTGGACTAGGACCATCTGGTTCTAATGTTGATTCAGCACGGATGAACTTGGCTTCATCTTATGTGAATGGACTGGTCAATGCGGGATTTGGTCAAGACAAACTTCTCACTGCTGAAGATAGCAAGTGGATTTATAAGAATAAAGATCATGGTATTGTATTTCATCTCTTAGTTATTGTAAATAATAAAATATTTTAATCATCTCAGATGTGAACTTTTCAAATAGGAGAGCTCAAAAATTTACTGGTGTCAGTGCTGTGCGACTATGATTCATCACGCGAAGTTGCTAATACACTAATACCAAGTACATCATTGAGCTTTTTGTATTTAAACAGTTGGGGCAGTACATTTTAAACATGCCCATCACCTCACCCAGAATGTAAAAAGGTGGGTGTGTGGGAAACCGGAAAGATTACGATCCTTCCAAGCTCCTTGTGTATTATTAGATATCAGTAGATGCTGGTTTTGGGCGAAGGAATTTAAACAGATTAAAAATTCAGATGAATCACAATCAATGTTTTTCATTGAAATTTTTAATTAATTAGATTAATTTAATTATATCGCTATTATTCTCAGACAAGATATCATTATTTCTACTCACAATTATGGAAAACCTATGGAAACTACATTTGTTTTAACAAGTATACTTACTATCTTTAGGTATGCTTGCTGCTACTGCATCCCTTGGTCTTGTTTTGTTATGGGATGTTGATGGAGGATTGACTCAAATTGATAAATATTTATACTCATCTGAAGATTATATTAAATCTGGTGAGTTTATTAGTGTTATTTTTTACTTTTTTTTGCATATCAAAATTGTGCTATTCATGTGCCAAAACTGGGTATTTATTCTGAATACAGTATGTAGTATATTTTTGAGTCTGAAATATGGTTGAAGTTTATCATATTTTTCAAACTCTCCCGAATAGAAGTTGAAATTGTGAGTTCTCCAGAGTCTTGAAGAAAAGATACTTGAAAAAAAATTGAGTTGACTGAATTGATCTCATCAGTCTTTTAAAGAAAGTTTGCTTTTGCCAAAGTAATTATTATTGAAATTTGATTTTCTTGGATGTTTGAAGCTGGAATCAAAATGTCCATCAACTTGGACAACTTGGAATCGGAGTCAAAATTGTTTTCAGACAGCGATCACATTCCATTTGTTAATTATACGTCTTTGCAGCTTAGTTTATGAAATAATGTATCATTCTGGTAAAACTTGTAATATGACGCATAGGATTCTGTTTTTTTGTTAGTTCCTGAAAGTCAAGAAATCGATTGTTTCAGTTGTTTTTACGATTTTATCAGCTAATTTAGTGGAACATATAATTTGATCAATTTTACCAGAAGTTTTCAAATGAAAAATAATTCTCAACTTCCTCTATTTTTCAAATAAATTTCATGTTGTTTTTGTTCAGGCGCTCTCTTGGCATGTGGAATTGTGAACAGTGGTGTGAGGAATGACTGTGATCCCGCTCTTGCATTGTTATCAGATTATGTTCTTCATAACAGTAATGTCATGAGAGTTGGTTCTATTCTGGGGTAAGTTTACACCTTGTTTATGTGAATACTTAAATAGTAATATATAAGCTAGGTTTGTGTGTGTGAGAAGTACAGGTACAGGGTACAGAAGTACAGGGATCAGCCATGTAATACTTTTGTCCAAACAAGGCTTTGTACAGGAATTATCTTATACATAAGTGGCTGCTATTTTTGAAGCGCTGTAATTTTTCGGGGTTGCCGTTTCCTGCTCAATTTATTACACCTGAGATGAGGAAGCAGCCGGGTAATATGGCCTCCTCATATCTCTACTCTGAACAAGGCTCTGTATGAGTAGCCACTGATACATATGGAGCTACTGTTTTTGAAGGTCCAACATATTCCAGTTTATTGCACATTAGTTAGTCAGGGTTAGTGTCTTGGCATGAGGTGTTAACCAAGACGTTTAACCTGCGATGTCGACTGTGTTAAGTTCTACATTGTGACCACCAGGTCGTCCAACATTTGATCATATGCAATTATGCAATGCCATTGTGTATTTTGTGATATTACAAATTGTCGAAAAGTTATTGAAACTAAATTCTTTGACAGTCTCCTTGTTTTTGCAAGATCAGTAATTATTGGTTGAAAAAGTTACTAACAACATTTAACAAAGTTATCATGCATTTCCGTTGAAATTTACATATATTTTATTATCATAATTTACAGACTTGGTTTGGCATATGCTGGTTCTAACAGAGAGGACATTATATCACTTCTACTCCCAGTCATGGCCGATTCTAAATCAAACATGGAAGTGGTTGGGATTACAGCTCTTGCTTGTGGCCTTGTATCCGTCGGTTCATGCAACAGTGAAGTAACGTCAGGTCTTCTGCAAACTCTGATTGAAAGACCGGAAAGCGAACTTAAAGATACGTATGCAAGATATATAGCACTTGCCCTGGGACTGGCTGTTCTTGGTATGTGAAATTTTATAGACCCAAAAATGTTATAGTATAAATAAAATGGGAAATGAGTTCTTTGGGCTTGAAGGAATGAATTGATCAAAAAAATGTTCTGCCTACATAGTCTATTGCAGCGGTTCCCAACCAGGAAGGGATTTTGTTGTTTTTAGACAGGATACATGTATTCGGTATAATTTTCCTGCTGTTTCGTTGTTAAATAATAGTTGGTACTGGGTAATGATTCTTTGAAAATTGAATATTTTTGTATATTTAATATTCGTTTGTTTTAACTTGGATTAACTTATGAAAACATGCGCAACTTATGGTATAGTAGAGTTATAGAAATTGATATTTCTAATGCAGAAAATGATAAGGTGCAACTTCAAATATTTACTGAAATGAATAATTTAAAGTATCAAATAGTATGAATATAGTCTTGAATGTAGCTTATTATAATATCTTTTGATTCGCAGGTAAACAAGAAGCAGTTGAAGCCATATTAGCTGCATTGGAAGTTGTTCCTGAACCATTGAAAGGTTTTGCAAGGATATTGGTTGATGTTTGTGCCTATGCTGGTGAGAGAGAGATTTTTTATGACTTTTTAGCACTTTCACTCTAAATAAGGCACTGGATGAATAACACAAATATACAATAGAAGATTTGAAATTTGTAATATATAGATTTCGATTTGAGATCACCCCGGACAATTATTTTTAATGTTATTTTGTTTTATAAGAGATTCACTCAAAAACACTCACACGCACACACAAACTCACTCAGAAGTAAAGGAGACTCATTTACAAGTCACTGACGACAACTGAAATGTCAAGGGCTACTCAAACGATATAGATTTATGGTGATGCATTTCGCACCAACAAATACCGATAGACTTCATACAGGTGTAGGAAATGACACTCATAAGGATTTGTGTGCATATTAAAATCTTTCGCTTATTCAAGATTGAAAGATTGCTTTGTTTAAAAAAATTTGACCTCCAGAGAAATTGATATCATATTTGTCTATTATAAATCGAGTAGAATTTATACTCAACATGAAAATTATTAAATTTTTCTCCAGGTACTGGTAATGTATTAAAGATCCAAGAGATGTTGCATATTTGTAGTGAAGTTGTAAATAAAGATGAAGGAAACGAAGAATCATCAGGAGATGCAAAATCCAGTGATAAGAAAGAAGGAGAATCTTCATCTAAATCATCCTCATCTTCCTCTAGCAAGAAAGATTCAAAATCTGACGAAAAGAAAAAATCAAAAACTGATTGGGGAATGTCACGTCAAGCAGCTGCAGTTCTCGGCATTGCTCTCGTGGCTATGGGAGAAGAAATTGGTTCTGAAATGGCATTCCGTACCTTTGGACATATGGTTTGTATTTATAATTACAAGTTTGATTGGTTTTACATTGCATTACCTCTTAACCATGTACAAAATTATGATCAAGCTAACTTGAATTATTCAAAGCTTGCATTTACAGAATAAAAATGCTGACCTATACATTATTATAGTTTATAATCAAATTTAACAGTTTACCCGAGAATTAGCATGGGGCATATGGAAGTGGCCCACTTCAGGCACATCCTTTAACAGGACCCGAACTCACTTTCCCTCTAGCTTGTTGATTACCAACCTTGCACGCCACTGCTCATCTGGCCTTAATTCTATACATTATCTTGTTTTAATCTCTATTTCAGTTCCGTTATGGGGAGCCATCAGTACGTCGAACTGTTCCACTTGCTCTATCACTTATCTCTGTGTCTAATCCACAACTACCTGTGCTCGATACATTGTCGAAGTTCAGTCACGATTCTGATAATGATGTTTCACACAATGCAATATTCGGAATGGGATTAGTTGGAAGTGGTGAGTATAATTACAGCTAACAATTGTTTCATGTAACATTACTCAAAGCGCTAGGTACCATCATCTTAAATCAAATTCATTACTAATATCGAAGTTTTCAAGGAACAGTTTTCATTATGCATGTGTTGTTCCACTAAGTCCACAGAGATGCCAGTATGTACCAGTTGAGCAATTCAGGTGAAATTGTGAACCTGTCAAAGTTATTTTTCTGGTATTTATCTTTCAACGATTCATATGAGATATGATGCTTAATAACATTTAAGTTCTGGACCACAAAATGCGTGACTGATTCTGTATATTTTGACCTGGACAATAGGACAATTTCATATTACCGTATATGCTCGTTTTACCGCCCGATCTTGATTAAGGGCCCGCTTGAATACCCGTCCGATATAAAAGCTGATTTTTCAGTGGTAGAGAACAATAGGAAATAAGAAGAGCTTTTGTCGCAACGCTGTTGAATTTTAAGCGCCGGTAGATAACATTCACGCCTTAGGCGTCCAAGTACATAACAGATAGCATTGATTACGTAACACCATGGTTCTCAAACTGGGCGTCGCGACGCCCAAGTACGCCGATTCAATATTGATAGGGCGTCGCAAAACTTTTCTTCTTTTGCGGATTTGTATCTGTGGTGCGTAGAAAAAGTCAAAATTTTCGTTATTCTCGTTTAAATCATACTTGAGAACTGGAAATAACAATATATTAATTATTGTAACGATTGAAAATAACAAGCGCTCGTGCTTGAATAAGGGCCCGGTTAGCGAGTTGGTTGAAAAAAATATGGGCCCGGGCTACAAAACAAGCAAATACGGTAGTTTAAATTGACAGAGCTTGGAGACTTTGATTTTCACTCCATTTTCGTTTTCAAAATCCCAAATAGGCTTATATTATTGTGGACTTATTAAACATGCTTCAATAAATACCAATACTTTGGGGTATATCTGAAATAGTTTTAAACCTCCAGTGTGCTTGTTATCAACTTATGTATATATTTTCTTCAGGTACTAACAACGCAAGACTTGCACAGATGTTGAGAAATTTAGCTGTTTATTACAGCAAGGATGCCAGTAATCTATTCCTTGTACGGCTGTCACAAGGACTTGTTCATTTGGGCAAGGTACTTTGCATTTTAAATTTTGATTTCATTACTTTGTGAAATGTGGATTTCTGTATATGTTTTTTTATATCTAGGGAACGTTGACACTACAACCGTTCACAGTGATAGACAACTTCTCAGTCCTGTGTTGCACTCGGTTCTCTACTCTCTGTTCATTATTTCATTCTTGGATCGTTAAAAACCAAGTTAAGTACAATAATGGGTTGTTTTTCCAAGGTTTAATAGTTTGTTTTATTGCCTGATACGTTACAGTTTAGTAAAAAACAGATGATTCAGTGGATACAAAAAAGAAATTTTTTGTCATTTGTTAATGTCAAGAGGCTTATCACAGCTTCACATCAAACAGGGATATAGATAAGTTAAAAGTTACAGTTTATAGAAAATGAAATAGCGAAAGTATAATGCGACTAAAAACACAGACCAAAAAACAATGGCATTCGCAGCGTTGCTTTCCAACAGGACCTTCTTAAAGTCTAAACATAGGCCAACGCAATTTTTACATTTTTGAAAGGAGATTGGTTAAATAGCATTTCCATCTTTAGCACTTGAGTTAGTTCCAGTTTGCTGTTGCACCTACCTATGCCTTTCCTATCCATTGTATATTCAATCAAAACAAGTTCATAATCTCTAAAAGTTATCGAAAGTAAGTACCGGTAATAATTACTAGGTAAGATGTCTGATTACATAATAGCTGTTATTGCTTTATCAACTATAGGTGATCTAAAGTTATTCCTCTTCTATAATTTTTCAGTTATTCTTGGGAAGAGTCACTACATGTTATACTCTATTGTTCCCGCAATACAGCCACGAATGCTCGTAACTTTTGATGAAAATCTCCAACCATTACCAGTTAGCGTTCGTGTCGGTCAGGCAGTTGATGTTGTTGGACAAGCTGGAAAACCCAAAACTATAACAGGTATAAAGAAGTGCTTGGTGGAGTTAATTTTTAATAATTTAATAGGCTCAATGATTGGCGCATCATGCAAGCATCAGGACAGGCCTGCCATCACAGGCACTCTGATTACCTTGCGTTGTTCGAAAGGTTGTAATTATGTGAACTGTGGATGCTGCACTGCTCGCATAATACAAGGTTCACATGGCTTTCACCATCAACAAGTCAATACATTTGAAACAAACAGTTAAATATTCTCATACTTGCTGTGGACTGGCAACTGAACAAGTCGCTATGGTTTGCCATACGATTAGCCAATTGTCTTTCCTTGTATTGTATAAAAGTTCTACTCCCTGCATCTGATTACCCTTTGTGGGTTTGTTATACATTGCTGGACATCTCACTGTTGTGTTTAGTATTACTGATGATCAACTGTGTTATGTGTTTGCTTAGTGCCTTAAATTTATCCACTTTCCACATATGGAAGGATTAACTTGGCTATTCCTATATGCATTTTATCCTCTTTACTTTTATATTGGTCTGTGTCATCATGGTTTTCATTGTTCTAATATGTTTCTCATTGCAGGATTTCAAACACATACAACACCAGTGCTTCTTGCTTATGGAGAAAGAGCAGAGCTTGCTACAGAAGAATATCTTCCATTGAATCCAGTGGTTGAAGGTTTCGTCATATTAAGAAAAAATCCAGATTATGAGTGAAAATTAACTTATTTGGACTTGGACAATTTTTTCTACTAAACCTTTTACAAGGATTTAAATATGGATATGGTCGCACGATAGGATATCTAGTTGTGATCAATGTGTTTCTGGTCTTGTCACCTGTATACTTATGTAAACTATTATTGAGTTTATGTAAAGTTCCCTTTTTGGAATCGTAAAAACATTCTCGCATATTGATTCCTGTTTTATTAGGTATTATGTCAGAGTTGTTTGTGCTTGCTGTTTTGTTAAAGGAGCGTTTTAATCGAGATAGCTTGATTGATCTACCAGCGATGCAAAGACCACAAAATTAAGCAGGGAAAATTAAAAAAGCCGTTGTCAACTTTCGATAGATGATGAACAAGTGTACTTGCAGCACTCTTGCTTCTCACGATTGCTGCAAGCCTGCGACCATGCGTTAGGTACGAGCAATAGCGCCAATCTAGACCTATAGCTTTTGGTAGAGCTTTTGGTTCTATTTGAATGGGCAAATATTCCAGACACTTTCTGTGCGAACCTGAAAATACCAAAGCCCTTTCTGTTCACAAACTTCCCACTAGCAGGTACATATGGCATAAATATGCTGAATTGGTTTACCTGCTGTTGATTGTTATATTGAAAAAACTAGAATTCGTTAAAATACAGTGGCCATGTTAGTTTATTCTTTTCAAGTTTGGCAGAGGATTAAATTCAATAAATTACGCAGAAATACAAACTACGGTATATACATATTTTGGTATCAAGACTATGCCGAAATATTTCAACGATTGTCGATTGAAATGTCTCGAAATAAGGACAAATTGAATTACAAAAATATTTAATCGCATTCCTATCCTTCTATCTTAAAAGTGAAAAAGTCGAAATAAAAATAGTCAAATTGAAAACGAACTAACAACAACAAACAGTATCAGTACATACGTACAGCTCTTACATTGAAAGAAAAAGTCTTATGGTAGCTGTTCGTCGCATAACTGATTAAACCGGCGGGGGTGTATACCTTGTGAAGTGATAATTTCTGTACTCCTCGTCTTCTCTGGTCGCTGATTTTGGATTTTCAACATTCGTACCATTGGAGCGCTCAACTGTGTAGCAATTATCATGCTGTAACAGCTAGTCTTACAAACAACAATAAATTGCTATATGATTGAGCAATCTTATCCTATTTCCCCCGCCCGTCATGGAAATTCTATAATATTGAACGCCAAAATAATTCCGTCCCAAGACCGTGGAAATTGTCATATTTTGAGTACGTCAGTTATGAATAGTACCCTAAGCCTAATGAGGTCAGTCATACTAGTTAATAAAAGCGCATTTTGTGTGTATTTTCCGGGCAAATTCGTGATTCGCACAAACTACATGTTGAAATTGCCTTTTCCCGAACCCACAAATTTATAATCCATTTATCTCCTGTCATCACCGGGCAGCCAGAATGAAGACTATCACGATCGATTGTTCCGTTCGTCAGCAAATTGAACCAAAGGATTGCACTTCCCTTTATTGGTTTTGCGACAATTCTCAGATTGGGAAACACAGTATTCCCTCCTTGATCTACGTCGGAAAGATACATCAGTAAAGTCGCTATTCGATCACCCTTGTTTTCAAAATTCTGTCCTTCCTTTGCTTTTATACCGAATGCGTCCATGTGTAAATCGTAGTGACCTCCCACGCCATAATTAGATATTGATAACTCTTCGACGTAACGAGAATCAAACTTTGTAACATCGGCTACCCTTCTGTTTATCTTTGCCACAATTTCGAAACGTTTTTCCTCCAGAAAAACTGTTTTTGTAACTCTGCTGTCGCTCTCTCTTCCCCCGCTTTCGCCGTTACTGACTTTTGCTCGATACATCAGAGGCGACGATACTTTTTTCAATATCTCGATCTCATCGTCACTTATGAAATTGTACAAGCGGGCCACGAACGGCTTCTTACTTTCAATCTCTACTTTAACTGGACGAAACAACAAGCGCGGATTTCTGTTTCCGTCCCACAAATAACATCGTAATGGCGGTCCCTGAATTCTGGTCAGTGGTTTCTTCCCTTGGCAAAGTTGTTCCAAAAGACTGTGATTTTTTAAAGGTTTTTCATGGGCATACTTTTCAAGGACACCGTAAAAGTTACCAAGAAATGGCGCCAACTTTTGTTGTTCTGCTTGCGCCATAACATGTCGATAAAAATCTGCCATTTCAATAAAATCCGGGGCAAATCTGGCAATCTCTCGCAATGTTTCATACGCCATAGGTAAGTTACCGTGTGCATACACGCATCTAGCTAACAGATATAATACTTTTTCGGCGTTTATGGAGTTGTCACCATTTCTCATTTTATTCAAGGCAGTTTCTTGCCACTCCGCACAAATTTGAGACTGGTTATTCGCCAAAGCAACATCACCGATGTCATAACAGTCTCCCGCAGAAAGTGAAATTCCAGAAACAGATTTCCCAATTATCCCAAGAGCCATATCATGTGCAGAGATTCCGTAAATTAACTGAATACGAATTAATCCGCTAATCGATCCAAAGACATCAAGAGAAGTTGGTAACGTAGGACGGTTGCGGTCAATTGTCCATAAAAATTTCTCAGATGCGTTTCTATCGCTCACAGCGCTTCTTACTCCTTCCCAAACGTATGCTAACCGCTTCATAAGAGCGTACTGATTAATTGGATTTTCCATACATGCTCTGACATTACTTGCAGAACTACATGAAGTAGTGTTCATGATTTTCAATGCCTCTTCCAGATAATTCAGTCTTGAATTTTCATAAGTGATGTAATCGCTCAGAGATTTCAGGAGGTCAGCTTCTTTTCCTAACAGCTTTTCCATGTGGGAAAATGAAGAAAACCATTCTCCGCGTATTGGCATAGAAAATATAATGATGACTAAAAATGCCTTCATTTTTAATTCAACTGAAAATATGTTAAAATGTTCAAGAAGTTATAGGATACTTGAATCGCTATTATCACGAAAGAATATGGTCTTGTTAAAGGGAGGATTTTATTAAAATTTTAGCATCTCCCAAGTGTAACATAAACGGTACGAAGTAAATGTGCTTCAAAAATAAATATATATATAATAAAGTTATTGTAAGGCACAGAATTTTCCAATGTGATTTCCACGAAAAAAAAAAACAGCCGAATCTCTGAATTCTATAGTTTAGGCAAGTCATCAGAATTTTTTCGTCAAGCAAATACATAAATCAATACATAGTTTTTTATGGTAGAAGTTAGCTTAATTTGAAAAAAATGATATTTATTGGTTTACTCCACCAAGTCCATCGCGACTGGCAAAGTTTCAGTTGGTCCGCTGAGAACTAATGCTACAAATGTAAGCCACAAAATCATACCCGAAAATAGTTGGTCAGAGCCACGGCATAGCTGAGTTAAGACCATGTAAATGAGGGTACTACTCACATTTTGGATCCAAACGGCAGCATAGAAATCAGATTTTTAGATTCGAATGTTTTATTAGACCAAACTAATAAACAGTATGTTTCAGCATAAACTAAGCTAGATTATTTATTATAACGAAGTGGTACAGTACCGGCACGTACACATTCGCGGCTGGGTGTATAAAAAAAAACTATTCACAACGTGACAGTTGAAATTAAATTTTTTTTAAAAAAGGATAGGACTATTCTAGCTATTCCAGAACCTTTATTTCACAATTCACTTTGATGTGCGCTACTGTACTACATTGGATCTAAGTGAATATTTTTTCATAGGCAGAAAACGAAACCTCAATTTTAAACTCAAGCCTGTTATGCAAATTCCACGGTGGCTCATACACTACGGAGGTAACCGTAAGAACATTTGTTTGTGATATCACAATACGAGTAATACTTTTATAATGGTCATAATACATGAATGTAAGCTTTGAAAGAATAGTAGGTAAAATTTAGTTTTGACCAAGCTAAAAAAGGACTTTTTATATACAACCTCATATAAAACTGTATTCATTGCTTGCATAAGACATTCGTTTACACAGCAATACTGCAAAAGTCAAGGAATAATAAAAAAAAAGTTATTTCATAATTTAAGCCAGCAGAACCTGGCAACAATTGAGATTTTGCGATCTTGCATGTCTGTGTGAGGTAATTGAGGTTGCACCAAATTTTTCGGCTGCGTATTTTATCCTGTACGTCTAAATCAGCGCCTGTCTTACAGAAGGTATTTTTTGTTTTGCATCACACGTGATTGTTAGCATTGTCATATATAACATCGAAGTTAGATTTGTTATGTGTATAATACGAGAAAAAAGTCATATGTTAAGTCACGATTTTACTTCAGACACAGGAATGTATTCTAACGTTTTGCATGTGGCTTGTATGATCAATATCATCAGAGGGGGAACACTTACATTAGAAATCCATCCAGTTTTTCAAAGCAGATCATGCTGATGTACAACTGTTTTACAAAATTAGACAGTCATGATATATATATAAGAACGATTTTTTTGTCATGTAAATGCTTCACTAAACACTTGAACATAACAAAAATGAAACGCAAATTCGAAAACAGAAATATTCAAAGCTGGTGGTACACATTAGGGGTAATCGAACACTTTTTTGCTATATATTGGCTCTATACTCGTCTACCTCTACATTTACTACAAAAATAAATTTGTTCAACATTTAGAACCTCAAATAGTAATATTATTAAAAGCGATGGTTGCAAAGATTTTGTGACCCGAGTATTATGATTCAACGCGGAGTCACGAATTGGAAACCCATTTACTTTTACATGCTCAGAATAATTTGAAGGGTGTGATGCTCGCTTGAGTTTATGAAAGTGCGCAGATTGATTGGGTATGAAATGAGGTCGCCATTCCCACTTACCAATCTATTATTGGACACGTAGTGGACATAACGATCGTTTCAATATTATGTTGTTATTGTTATTATTTATCTTCATCATTTTTAAAAATCGCTTTTCTCTTCGAATACTGGACCAATTGCTTTGAAATTTTCAGTGGTTAAAGATAAAATTTTTTCTCCAGAAGGCTATCACTTTTTCGCTATAACGTCATCAAAATTATTGCCATTGGGTGGCGCTACGTGTCCATATGTTTGAGCATAGCTCTCTTGTTACCTTAACAAGAGTGCGATGCTCAAATATATGGACACGAATGCTAAAACTAACCAGCAGTCTACCTCATCTTATAGTAGCCTATCCTATAGTATATTTTTGACACTTCAGTAGAGTAGCTAAGGTACTGTATAAGGCTTATACCAGACTTATAAGCAGTGGTGAGATTCAATTTTTTTGTCAGCCGGTTTCTTCACAAAAGTCAATATTTTTCAGCCGGTCCTGTTACAAACAGAACATTGACAGTAACCAGTAATGCTATCCGGTTCGCTGATCTCATAAAATTCCGTGAGACGGTTCTCTAGAACCGGTGCGAACCGGCTGAATCCCACCACTGCTTATAACGCTTTCGCGTACCAAGGAAGTGGCACGAGAAAAGTCACGACAACGAATTTTTATCAATTTTGAAGAAGTCATCACACAAAACTTTGAAGTGGAAAACGAATCGCATAGAGCCCAAAGAGAGTTTCCAAATTAACAATACAATCCAAATTAACAGTACAATCTTCAACCACTGAAAATTTAGAGGCAATTAGTCCAGTAGTTCATAACAACAAGAAGAATACCAAAAAAATCAACAACATAATAACGAGAATATCGATCGGAGACCGAAGACTTATCGATCGAACTGCGGTTTCGATTCATGACTCTATAGTGACACCGCGTGTCCAATCACTAATTAATTAATAACTCGCTAATTATGCGACATAATTCATCCAGAATCAATAGGCTTCTGGTCCAAGATATGATGAATGCACATGCAGACAGACAGACAAATACCTATCAACATACTTACCGATCTTAAGAATGATAAGTTACAAAACGATCCATATGTACTATTCGTGTCCAATAGAAGTAAATGTGTGCAGATGGACAATTGGATGCATATTTGCATTGAAAATAAAATTAGAAACAAGCATAATTTGTATTGATATACTTCACCATATTACATGCGCGTAGTCAATATCGAAATTAAAAGCTTTGTTCATTTTGATTACATAATGCTGCGTGGTCAATTAGCTCACTAATAAATACCATTGTAAAAATATTGAAACCGACAAAGTTTCCAATGTCGCAATACTTTGTGTTGATTTGCATTTTCCCATCCAATACTGTCTCCAAATTTGCAGTCAGGATAATAGTCATTGTGTGGTTTGTTGTTACATATTAGCATTGCAGTTTATAGTCTAGTTGACATGAACAGAAAATATTTTTATTGGGACATCATGTGATGTTACGATTGGTTCTTCCTGTATTTTTCAAAATGAGTAATGACTTCAGACTTGGACTTACACACGCAGATTTCAATTCCTTCTACAAGAACAGAGTATGTGCAAAAAACAGTGTACATGGCCATTTTGCCGTGTTTACATGGCCATTTTTGTGTCAAATTGTATTTTTGCGTTCTGAAAAATTAGAGATGACATTCTGAACACTTTGAACAACAATATGGTGGTTATAAAACGTAGGTTTGAAGATTGAAAACAAAAATGCCCAACTATTTTGAATTAGGGGAACTTGGATATTGTGTATTGAACTGCAGGTCCTTTCTCCTTGTTTACTTTCTACTTCGGATCCGTATGTGGTATTTGCCACAAGGATGCTTGAACGAAGATAGTATTGAAGTGAAAAGTAAAAATAACATGATTTCTTTCAACGAAATAGTAAGTTTATTTGTGAGCTTTCGTTAGATCATGGTCTAACTTCTTCAAACAATACAAAATATAACTTAATTAAACTGCGAATTTTGAACTAATGAAATTGTTGGTATAATTTACTGTTGATGTATTGCCTGGCGTATTAATTCTTGTACGTTTTAAATGGTTGGACAAAAAATGTTTTTTTGAGAGCAAAAGAAATACAGACTGCCAATTAAAGATTTTGCTGACGGTGAGCTACACGACACACATACAAATTTGCGAAATATAAAAACATTACTAATGAGATAATATGTACCTCCAACGTAGTTTTGTTAACAAATCCTCTTTCTGCGTATAGGCTTAGTGGTCAACCACGGTTGTAGACTTATTGTGCTTGAAAACCTGATTGAAGCAGCAGTCTGGATTGTGGTCGGGCTAAAAGTGCCCCTAGAGTTTTAAAGTTGGTATAAAAACTTATGCTTTCATCAAGGGGAGACAGAGAAGCAGACGATGACGTTTTTCCACGTTTGTTGACTAATCAACGTTTGTCACGAGCTGTATTTTGCTTGTTTTATTTAGTGAATAGATATTTCAACAAAAATTCTTTGCATGTATAGTTCAATTTATATTGTACGAAATATTTATACTTAAAAATTGGAGGATATACGGATATACAGCACTTGAACTTGTGAATTATCACTTCCAATCACGTCATATAAAATATCGTTATTTGTGTAATATATAGGTCTACGTCGAAGGATGTGAGCGTCAAAATAATATTTTCTATTCAACTCTCCAGTGGCAAATTTAATGTAATTGCTTTCATTGTTCACGTGTATATAGAGAGCCTTTTGCGGTTGCTCCGTGCCATTAAATATTAATCTTAAGAATGTGTAATCTAACAATATTTTATATAAATGAAACTTGTCGGAATATTTTCATACGGTAAAGTATTTTAGGATTATAATGAGAGTAAAATACGTCAATTCTTAATTGCTATAATTATATATTCAAAACGGAAAGGAACATTACTCAATTTGGTTGATTTCCATATATATATATATATATAAGTGACAAGAGAGATGATATGTTATATTGTACTGCAAAACTGACATGGTTAAAGTTGTTGTTTGAGATCAAGTATGTTTTTGATAATTATTTACATTATCTGTTTAATTATT